ATAATTACAGTTCCTTATTGACCCGTCTTTTAGAGTCTTGGTTGAGATTTAAACTAAAGATTAAGACGCAGTTTATTAATCCCTGAGGGGAAATATAGTTCTGCACTCTGGTCTTATTTTACATTACACACATAGGCCCAAACACAGACATTCACAAACAGGATCTATATACATGCTTAGTGGAGATGTGGGGCACAAAACTACCATTACTGTCCTCTATCTGTACCAGGAGGGTCAAATATAAATGACATTTCTTTCATAACAATCTTATGTAAACCCTTCTCTGCCACTGAGAGGAGAAACAAAGCATAAATAATGAGAAACTTTGTCAAAATTGGGATTATCTCATTATTTTGAGTTAGTTCATCTTAAGTAGGAACTAATGGATCCTTTTTTTCCTCACTGTGATGTTGTGCATAATGAAAACATCTGTGTTTTCCCTTCATAGAAAGCAGAGAATACCATAGTTATTATCATTTAAATTGTCGATGGCACTACAAGACATGAATAATCCATCTGGCTGAGCAAGATGTTTTTGTTTTACGTCACTGCTGCCTAACTAGGTCATACGGTTATTAAAAAATAATTTGGTGCATCAAGTAGTTTCCTTCACTCTGTTTTAGTTCTTTGGCTCTTTTGATTGTTTGCTCAAGAGGTTTGCTTTTCTAGATCAGAAATAACGTTTACAAAGATTAAGCTGCCAATAACTTCTGTAAATCTGAAACATCTGCTCTCTTAATAGCTGAAAAGCAGCGTTTGCGCCATTACAGTGTGACATTTAGACATGCATGTATATAAGCCCTCATGATAATGTTAACAGTGATCCTAAGGAAGTCAGATTTATATTTGAAATTCCAGCAAGCTGAAAAGATCCCAGTTTTTCAGAGTCCAAGGCGATCTTTAAGGTCTTTAACATTCTTGTTTGTGAGTCCAAACACAGAGATATTTACCTAAATACCATAGAACAAAGCAAGAAAAATACATCCAGATTTCAGAGACTTAAAACAGCGTTTGTACCATATTTGCATGAAAAATGACTTATTGATTCATTTATGGCAATTATTTTTCCAGAGCCCAGTCTGCTCTGATTGGTTAGCTGGACAGATCTATTATGATTGGTAAACCGCTTAGAGATGTCCCGCCCCTTAGTCTATTACAAACAATGCCTTGGAGTTCTAGCGAATAGCGGCGTGAGTGTAAGGAAGTGATGTCACTATGTTACAGAAGTAAAAAAAAAAAGGAGTCCAATGGAGGCGTTTCAGGCAGGGGGGAGGGGGGGGGGGAGAAACAGAACATTTACATGCACAAAATCTATAAAACACACGACAGGCAAGGGAAAACCCCCAAAATAGCATTATAGGGCCTTTTTAAATATTATACAAACATCATCATTTTTAGCATCATGTTTGTCTAAATTGTGGAACTTTTACTTCTGTATAATCTGGTTTAAAAAAAAGCTCAGATGGTTGCTTAAAGTCTATGAAAAAATATGACATTTATAAATATCCTGGTGCATCATTAAAAATCTAAAAATAGTTTGTCCCACCCTTTTAATCTTCCTTTTTAATCTCAGAACATGTCGGGGCATGTAAAGGCATGCCGGAACATGTCCCTACTGGCAGATCTTGTTTGGAGAATAAATTATAAATCTGTATAATTGAATGTGTATTTGACTCTCAGGTACACTCCCCTCCTTTTTGATTTCCATCAATTGTATCTGAATGAAAGCCGTAGATGTGGCGGTCTGCTGCGTGGTGTGATGGAAGGCAGAGCGCTGTGATAATAGTCTTGGTGTTGGAGGACAGGATTGACTAAATTATGCATTTGCTCTAAAGATAGCTGAGCTCCCTAGCTGTGGTGCATAATGAAATATTACCCACTTTCTTTCTGCATATTTATGCCCCAGCAGCTCCTACATTTGTGCGAGGGTCTGTTTTCAGATTTAGTTTGAGAAGCCTTTGTCAGAGTGGATTATTAAATGTGTATGCATGGACCTAAAAATATCTCCTGCTGCGGTCACCATGCAGTTTCTACATGGGAGAGAATTAGTAATAACTATCCATGTTCATACATGTTTCATAATAATCAGAAAAATCTTTAGAAAACGTGTCTTTATTTAAAAAAATATATGAACTAGCTTACATCTAGAACAGGGGTGGGCATTTTACGGCCCGCGGGCCACATCCTGCCCGTTGGCCGGCCTTGGCCGGCCCGTGTGAGGTTGATCATAAATTACAACAAAATGAAAAAAAACAGCAACCTTTTCAAAATAAAAGCAACACAGCTGTATTGCTTGCATGGCGTAAATACTTTTCTAACTGTGTTGCTTTTATTTTGAAAAGGAAGCTGCTGTTTTTTTTATTTATTTACGTAAACGCTTATGCCGTAACAGCTACGAGTGATGCTGGCCGGCTAGTCCTCGAAATGTCCGCTAAGGGGAAAAAAAGAAAGATCGATACTGAATGCCGCATTTTCAACAAGACATGGACCGCTAAGTATTTATTTACAGAAGTGAAAGGTAAAGCTGTGTGTTTAGTTTGTGGTGCGCAGGTCGCTGTGTTCAAGGAGTACAATTTGAGTCGCCACTATGCTACCAAACACGCAGATAAATACAAGAACCTGTCTGAGGAAGAGCGGGCAAAGGGGTCGGATGCTTTGCTAGCTAAGCTGCAAAGCCAACAACACATTTTCACAAAACATTCCACATCCAGAGATGCAGCTGTCAAGACGAGTTATGTCTTAAAAGTTAACCGTTTTCGGACGAAGAGTTCATTAAGGAGTGTTTGTTGGACACTAATATGCCCGGAGAAAAAGGAGGCATTTGAGAAAGTGCCGCTCTCCCGACGCACTGTTACGAGGAGAATTGAGGACATCGCGGGAAATCTGGAGCTTCAGCTGCAGAACAGAGCGGTCAACTTTGACTTTTTTTCCTTGGCTTTGGATGAGAGCTGCGATGTACGTGACACTGCCCAGCTACTCATCTTCCTACGTGGGATAACTACAGACTTCAAAATCACGGAGGAGCTGGCAGCCATGCAATCAATGAAAGGTACAACAACAGGGAGTGATTTGTTCACGGAGGTAAATGCATGTGTGGAAAAGTTGGGACTGAAATGGGACAAGCTGACAGGCGTGACAACGGATGGTTGTCCAAATCTGACAGGGAAAAATGTTGGACTATTGAAGAGAATGCAGGATAAAGTGACAGAAATTAACCCTGAGCAGAAATAGGTATTTTTGCATTGTATTATACATCAGGAAGTGTTGTGTAAGTCAGTGTTAAAAATTAACCATGTTGTTGATGTTGTAACTAAAATAGTTAACTTCATCAGGGCAAGAGCATTGAATCACAGACAGTTTGTTGCACTTTTGGAGGAAAGTGAGACTGAACATCGTGACATACCCTACCATGCAGCTGTCAGGTGGCTCAGCCTGGGCAAAGTGCTGAAAAGAGTAGGGGACCTGAGAGAAGAGATTCAAGACTTCTGTGTGAAGAAAGGAAACGACATCCCACAGCTTTCAGATGCAGACTGGATGGCAGACCTTGGTTTTGCTGTAGATGTGACTGCACTAATGAGTGAACTAAATGTCAAACTGCAAGGCAAGGGCCTTTTTGTGCATGACATGTACAGTGCAGTGAAGGCTTTCATGAGAAAGCTGCAGCTTCTCTCAAGCCAAATGGAGGACAACATTCTCACGCACTTGCCAACACTGAAGGAAGCCACACCATCAGCTGATCACCTCCAGAGGTACTCATCCATGTTAGAAGCACTGCATGGTGAGTTTTCAAGGCGATTTAAAGACTTCAAAACAGTTGAGAATGAAATGAACATGATATTTTCCCCATTTACATGCCATGTGGATGATGCACCCAGTGATGTTCAGCTTGAACTCATTGACCTGCAGTCTGACACACTTCTGTCAGAGCACTTTAGGTCAGTCTCACTGCCTGAGTTTTACTCTTCCCTGAAAGAGGAGAACTTTCCACACATCAGGAGACATGCTCAGAAGATGATGGTCCTCTTTGGATCTACCTACATATGTGAACAGACATTCTCAGTGATGAAGTTCAACAAATCCAGATACAGATCCTCTATCACTGATGATCACCTCTCAGCTGTCCTTCGCATATCCACCTCAGACATTGAACCAGATTTCCGTGCACTTGTTCAAGCCCAAGACAGACTGGATTTTTCTCACTGAACAAGTAAAATGAACTGAAAAACAAAAATCAAAAGCACTCATTTCTTTTTGTATAAAGCTGATTCATTTCTTATCTTTAACATACTGTAAAACACCTTTTCAGTATTGGTATATTGAGCAGAATTAAGTTCAACTTATTTTTGATTCGGCCCCCCAACACAGCTCGAGTTTCTGAAGTGGCCCCTTGTAAAAAATAATTGCCCACCCCTGATCTAGAATGAGAACATATTTTTTGTTGGGCTGTGCCAAAATATTTTTTTATTTTTTTGCTGCATAATATATGGTACAGCCTTACAAGTTGTTTTTTTAAAAACTGTATTTCTGCCCAGTTAATAATTATCAGGTTTCACTCATAATACTAGTGTTATACCATTTTAAAAATCATAAACCCTTTATTTGTCCCACAGTTGGGACATTTACAGAGTCACAACAGCAAAGTGACGGCCAACAAATAAATACAAATAAATGAATTAACATAAAAAGACGTAAACAATCAAAAGAATATGTTATTATTATTACTACAATATTAACATTTAATTATCCATATAAAATGTCTCACCAGCTACTTAGATCAATTATTTCCGCTCATAATAATAAAGAAAGATATTAAATATATTTAACGCTTTTTCAAAGAGGCTTTACATTGAAACTAACTTTGTTTCTAAAAGCATTCCAACCAATTTCTTTCATTTCCCCCTCTCTACTTCTCCATCCTTTTGTCTCTGATGTACACCTACTGTGCATATTGATAATGTATTGAATGAACTGGTATACATGTTCCTCTGTGTGTGTGTCAGGCTGTACTGCCTGAAGATCTACGGCCTCTCGTCTCTCTGGAGGCTCTTCAGGGGGAAGAAGTGGAACGTCCTGCGGCAGAGGGTGGACTCCTGCTCCTACGACCTGGACCAGGTAACCCGCAGTGATAAGGCCTTTTACCTAAACATAGACCAACGTTTGCAAATACTCCATTACAAGTAAAAGTCCTGAATTCTAAATGTTTTGCTTAGATAAAACAATAAAGGTATTACCAGCCAATCATACTGGAAGGACCAGAAGTCAGGTAGCTTGTGATTTTACCAAGGGATTATAAAATGTATCTTAACGTATAATCATACGTAAAATATAAGCACAATGTAATTAAAGTATAAAATAAAAGTACTTCAAAGGGTCATGTAATTACAAAATATTATATTATTCTGTTTTAATCTCCAGCGTATACATTTGAGCGCTTTAATGTAGTTTTTCGTCAAATTGAAGCCAATTTTAGACACTTTGAATATGACACGGTTCATAAGTCATTGATGTTTAATGCATGCGTCTTTTCAAAGGATTTGTTCCGGTCCCTTTCTTTCACTGACATTTTAACAACAGGCTGTTTCTGTGTGTCACTGTGAGGCTGTGAAACATGCAGATAAAAGCAATGCTTAGAAGATTCTCAAAAGAGGATGAGAGGATGACAGGCCTGACCAAAAAAAGGAGTTTAGAAGGATCATTATTCCCCATTAGGATTTGCATTTGGTGACAAGTTCACACTTTAATTGTGCAATTTGCCTTTTTGGGTTCATTTTTTAGACACATTCAATTCCCAGAAGTCATCACGCAAAGAAATAAAACCAGCACCAACACACACGCACACACACATTGTCATCAGCACAGAGGCACAGACGTTTACTGTGAGTGTGTTTGTGTGTTATCGTTGCTTCAGCTCTTCATTGGGACCCTGCTGTTCACCGTGCTGCTGTTCCTGCTGCCCACCACAGCGCTCTACTACCTGGTCTTCACTCTGGTAAGACGAGTCACACGTAAACACACTCCTGCAAGAAATTTACTTCTGTGCTAACCGGGGTTCAGACCTCTGAAACACAACGACCATCTACAGCTGTAGACAGGAATCTAGAAAATGAATCATGAAACCCTCTTGTGAGTTTAAGTAAGCACAGTAATTAGAAAACTGCTGATATTGTGATATGAGAATAGATATTGCCTTAGATTTGGAATATCGTTATATCTTAAGGGTTGTCTTTCCTGGTTTTAAAGGCTGCATTACCGTAAAGTCAATAAATGCTAATCTATTTTGTTCAAACTGACAAATTCTTCCATGGAAATTTCCTCAAGATACGTCAACATTTCCCGATAATAAGCCCCAGAGGTTCTTCCCTTGGAAATGATTAGACATTTTAAAACACTCCTACATTCTGTTTCAAAGCCTTCTGCACCCTGACCAGGAATGAAACTGTGGTAGAGAAATACTGAATCATTTTATTAGATGATTTATTTAGTTACTGACCTAAAAGGAGTTAGTAAGTATGGATTTAGCCAAAAGAAACTGCATTAAGTTTTAAAATCCCAAATTGTTTCTTACCCTCCCTAATTTAAACATGAAATACATACTCATTATTTCATATATCCTGTGGATTGAATCTAATCTATTACCCACAACACTCAGTAGTCCATTCACACTTTTGTTTTATTAAGTGACTCCAGCCCTGATTCTTTCCAGTAGGGTGGGTTTGTTTGTAACACCTGTGTGCCCCTGTGTTGTGCAGTTGCGGCTGGTGGTGGTGCTGTTCCAGGGCGTGCTCCACCTCAGTGTGGACTTCATCAACTCCTTCCCTCTGTTCGCTGTGGCGCTCCGCATCACGCGCTCCTACAGACTAGCAGGTACGTTACCTTTTGTCATGGATCACTTCATTTGTGTAAAACTGCTCAATCAAAGTAAACATGAAACAGTGCAATGCTTTTTAAGATAACACTACAGATTCTTCCTACTGACTCGAGGATCTGAAACTCTCCTTATTTAGGAGGAACACCTGCACGGCTTCCCTTTTCTCAAAGTCAATTTTATTTAATGTGTTAAATGCCTGAAATAAGCTCTGTGGTTAACACAAGCTTGAGAGATTTTTACTTTTTTTCTTTACCACATAAAATATGTCAGTAAATTAAAGTATCGAAGAATTGCCTGTCATTCAATACCACATTTCAATACCTAAAGATGAAATCCATTAGTGAGCCAATTAGCATTCAGCAAGTAGCTAGATCTAATAATGCTAAGGCAGTATGAGAAAAATAAAGCAATTTTTGAACATTCAAGCTTGCAAACATGTCAGAGTAGAGGCACAAAATACAAATATGAATCATGAAAATGGCTAAAATATGTTCTCTTAAACACTTTTGATGTGGCTTTACTAGCGATGTTATTAAAAAAAAATGTTTTAAAGGGTTAATAATTTATTAAGATTACCTTATTGTACAAATTCATGTAAATATCATAATATAATCCAATATCCATTTGATAAATCCCATTGTTTTATTTAGGGAACCAGGGCGATGCTAAGTTCAGGGTTCTGCTCCAAAAATATTTCATCCCTGCTCCACTCTTTTTAATGTGTGAACACCTAATGAGTTCATGTCGAAGCGATCGGGGAATGATTGGACTGACAGAACTATGACAACATGATGCATTATCAGCAGGTTATTAAATCCTGAAAGCAAAGAGATGTATGGGTGGCTGAGTGTATAGATGATTCTGGACTCTTATCGATGTTCTTCACAGAGGGTGTAAAGTTCAAGGTGCTGTGTGAAGAGCCCGGGACGGCCCTGCACCTGCTGATGGAGGTAAGAGGCCACATTTAGTTTCCTTTTTTAAAGATCAAATTCCCTTTCCCCTTGATTTTTTTGCCATCTAAAGTATTTTCCTTTGTGTCTATTCTGAGGCTTCTAATAATGGAGTACATTCTCTGGATTTGTGTCTGTTTAGTAAAGGATTTAGAACTTTGTAACCTGATAATACAGTACAATTGATGTGAGTTTTTTTAAGATATCGAGCTGTTGTGTTTCCCTCCTCAGATTAACCCTCTGAAGAGCAGCACGGTGGTTCAGTTGTACCGCACCCCGACGTACAGCTGTTACCCCAAAGACTCGTGGGCGGCCCTGGCCAAGAAACTGTTTGTTGGGGAGCTGATTTATCCGTGGAGACATAAAACCACCAAAACCGACTGAGAGATGGAGGGGATGAGGGAACAACAGAAAGGGAAGTGACTGATTAAATAATGAGATGGAAGGAAAGAGGGGGAAAGGTGAAACAAGATGGAAAGGTAAAAAGAAATGTGAGTTGCGCTGCTTTCATGTTAAATTGGAAGAAAGTTACAGAAAGTGTGTGTTAGCAAGAAACTGCCAGTTCAGCACACTTGGTCAGGTTGAAGAAGAAGAAACATGTTTCTGAGCACAGAGAACAAGGCGGTGTAAGCCAACAAACTTAAAAACCAGCAAGTAGTCACGTCCTGCTGCTGTAAGAACTGTGATCATAAGATGACTTTCACTACATGGGGAAAATACTTTTATTTTCCATCATTTTAGGATTTGATATAGGGTCAGCTGTTTTCTTTTGTTGTAGAGGCCATAAATTAATAATAATATGAGTATTTAAACCCCTGTACTAAATGTATATGCATTCCCACAAAGAAAAACGCCACTAAAGGACCAAAGCTATTTGTGTTATGTGGTTTAAGTGTGCGACAGAAAGATGAATTACTAATCCTTAGATAAGACTTAATAGAAAAAAACAAATTAGAAAAAAACAAGCAGATGACAGTACATTGCTTGGCTTTTGTGCTGGTGCACCTGCTTCTTAAATGTAACGTAAATGTCCATTTCAAGTGCCATAAGCAAATAACCCATAGTGATGTACCACTCACTATCACAAACATGAAGTACAAGCTGTTTTTCACACTCCATGGGCTTTCCTGTAAAACCTACCTAGTTTAAAGTAGTTTTGCACAGGGAACCAGGACAAAAATAAAACCCTCCCTACAACACTCCTTAGTCATGAAATACCAGAATGTAAACATTTGAGTTTTTATTACCCATGACTTTTACTCCAGCACCAGCCTCTAAGCACCATTGAAGCTTCTGGAGGGATTCTAGAAGTACAGTGAGACTGACTTTTAGTGAACTGCAGCCAATGGACACCGCTTACTCTAATGGGATATTGCCAACACATGTCGCAACAGTAACTCAAGTAAAAAAAGAGTCATCAAATCAGGCTCCATATTTAATGCGAAAATCCAATTCGACAGCAGTAACCACAGGTTTCTTTTTAAAGTCTGCAACATAGAGGCGGGATTCCTCTCAGTAATCAGGTATTTATGCTTTAACTGCACTGATCATATAGATTGTATATAATTAAAGTATTAGCAAAAGTCTACCTAAATGATACTAACTGGAAAAACTGATTTATATTTTCTTTGTAATACTTTGTGTTTTGATGTATAAGAGTGTAGTCTAAAAGAATGATTAGTGTTTTATGTGTTCATTTGTTGCCATATTTCGCAGTTATGGAGGGAGTTACTGTTCTGTTATGGTACGAAGCAAATCTTTATTCTGCTCAGGGTGAATTTGTCAGCGTTTGTCTTGTTATTTCTAATATATGTGCCTATTCATGTCATTTGTAATGAAATGTGGTGTCATTCTTTGTAACAATGAACCTAATCCATCTCTGATTGAAATGAAACTAACCAACAGTTTAGAATGAGGTTTGATGTCGGCCTTGTTCTGCACAAACTGTAGGTGAACGATACATAAGCTGTTGAAAGTTAAACATTTTTCCACTTTTTATAAAGCTAGGCAATGAAATGTCCTCTGCCTGCAGTCTTAGTGCTGAATTAGAATTAAAAACAAATGTTCACTCTCTTTAATGTGAATTATTTCTGTACTTTAGCACCAATTTGTTAAATTGTCTAAATGTGCATTCTTGTTTTTGTAACCTCTTATTTGATCATCTCCTACTGATCTGTACTAAATGTTCCATTGCCATTTAATAAAATCCATGCGTATTTAATATACTGGTGTCTCTTCTTTTCAGATGAGGCTTATCTTTTCATAAACAGCTTATAAAATAATGGGTATAGAAATGATTATTGATTTAATCTAATCTGTAATGTCAATAAGAGACAAACCCCAGAGCTGCTCTATTAATATATTTGAATAAGAATGTTTGTGCCTAGATTGAATGAGATGTATTGTGACCATGTGCTGCTGCAGCACACGTATCCAGTCTTACTGTAATCCTGGGATGGCTCTTTTCTATTCAGATTATTATCATTATAAATCCAAACTGATCCATAGATCATAGGAGCTGTGTCTTAATGCTTTTTCTGACAATCAAACAAATGGAAAAATATAGTTCCGGTAGGACTGATGATGAAAACCCTACATTAAATTGTTAAGGAAAAAGTGCAATTTGAAACTTCTTTTTCATTTATCACTAGCTAAACATGCCTCGTGTGTTGATTGGTGATGTTTTGTTCAGTGATTTATGTAGCAGTTGTTATACGATTTAATGACTTCTAATGGTGTTTAATGTCTCATCTTTAATGCCTTATATGCTATTCTCATGATGGGCCATAAAATGCATTTAAGGGGGGGGGGAGAAATACTCTGAAACTGGTCTTTAATGCACTCATTTTCACAGCCTGTGATTAATGGGGTTTAATCAAAATGTTGTCAAAATCACTTGCTTATTTATTTTAAGCAAATCTTTATTTTTTGCAAATAAAATAGCAACAACAGTACAAAACTAACAATAGAATTAGGTTACAGATTTGGATAATTCTGAATATTATAAATATATATAAATGTCTATGTGAAAGTCCAAAGTAGGTAAATATAATTGTTAAAGGATTGTATATAGGGGTCAAGATTTGGTTGTGCAGTCTGATGGCTACTGTTAGAGTTCATTATTATATTGTAGGATATTCAAATATTATAATGGATAATCACTTCAACCTAATCAATCGATCCCCCGACCCCCTTCTTATTTGCTTATTTACAAGGGCATGTACAGTCAATCGATAATAAACCTTTTACCACTCTGAATCTGCTTTACTCATCATATTATGTTTAATGATTCATGCTTTTTCTGCCATTACCAGCCTGTGTGCTTGGTTCTTTGTGTGTAGGTGTTTACCCTCATGAGATTCTTTCTAGCAAAGCTAAAGAGAAGTGAGTCATGATGTTAAGAAAACAGATTTGACACAGATGGCATCAAACTCAGCCTTACTACTGTACATCACATGTCATATTATAACTCATGTTACCATGCAGTTACGCTGCATTATACAGTGTATTCTTCTTTTCCCCTCATTTCTTTATTACCATGTGTACATTCATCTGCACTCTACAGCTTTTATCACCTCTGGTTTTATTTCTACAAAACTATAGATTCACATGGGACAATAGTGTTTAGCATTCACATTTTTTTACATTTACTGTACCACAAGAACAGGCAACAACAAAGAAAACAATGCCTCATTCATTGTGTATTCCTTAGAGTAGCCTAAGATACATAACCATAACCAATAACCATACAAAATCAACCTACAAAACATTAAAACAGACAGTTTTCTAAGTAAACCAAATCTACCTTAAGAGTCGGAATGTATGAATGTATTATCCACAAGATTGCCATTGTTCTGTACGTGTTTCAGTGACAAATGAATCATCTTTGTTGTCCACATTCTCCTCACCATCTGCGTGTTGTTGACAGCAGATTGTGATGGTCGTTTTGCTAAGCCAATGTATTACATCCTGCGTAAGACCAGCGTCCAATCATATGAGTTGGAAGGCGGGGCTTGGAGTGAGAGGGCGGGAACCAAGAAGAGGACACACTGTGGCGAGCAGCGGATCTGTCAGCAGTGTTGTTGTACGGTACTGAGAAGCCACAGCTGTGACTATGATTCAATATAATGGAGAAATATGGAGATATCAGAGACTGGGATTATTGAGTACACCTACAGAGATTTGGACTGGACATAAAACTGCCACAGGCTTCTGATCCCACTGCAGATATTGGTGTTTTCTGGATATAACGCAGTGAAGTTACAGGAATCTTTGTCACTCCGGACCAGAGGAAGACAAGGGGGCCTGAAATTACACGGACGGCGGTTGAAGTTGAGCTACGGGCTGCGCTAGCTAAGTTAGCATTTAGCCAGTAACAGCAAGTCCTTTTTAATCACGGAGATGTGTAGTTATTAAATGCAGTGCCATGTGTTGCATTGCGTAGCGTAACGCATAGCGAGTGTCAGTGTCTTTTAATATCTACCGTGTTTGATAACTGCTGGCAACGATAGCACCAGTGCTAACTGCTAAGCTAACTAGCTAGCTCTCTGGCAGGGGATAGCTTGTTGTTCCCCACAGAGCTTTTCTTAAATGGGAACAAAAACACAGCCTCCAGGTTAGCTAGTTTTTTTGCTAACTAGACAAATATATGATTCGTAAAGGTATTTGCTCCTATACTTTGCAAAGTGGCTTATTATAATTATTATTCCAGGCAATAAGCATGTTTTTCTTCTCTACGTAGACTTATGCCACCAAGCCAAAAAGAGTCATCCCGTCCGGATACAGCTTAGTTGCACTTATTTTCAGCAATAAGGATGTTATCTTTTTCAAGTAAGACATTCCTTTGAGATTGGAAGCTCTTTTTTTTTTATCTGAAAAGGTGCTCTGAATTTGTAAGACTGTTAACGAAAAAGAGGCATAACAAAGACTTCAAGTTGGTGGACACAACATTCGGTTCATGGCATAACAAGCCTTTGTTTTGGTTCAAGTGTGTAGAACAACACACACGGGGGAAGTTTACAGTCATTCATCTTCAGCCCCTGGACTCAGACGGGATGCACCATGGGCAGCCAGGGCAGCCCAGTGAAAAGCTACGACTACCTGCTCAAGTTCCTCCTGGTGGGAGACAGCGATGTGGGCAAAGGAGAGATCCTGGACAGCCTGCAGGATGGATCTGCAGAGTCCCCGTACGCGTACAGTAGTGGTGAGTCACTTTTCTCTCAGCTAATGGCTTAGTTGTATCCTCTTATGATGATGGGTCCTTGTGTTATGTCATGCTTGCTCATCAGAAAAGCCTTGAACATACTACACATTGCGCTGCTGTGTGGACTGTGGAGAACACACAATGAGCTCTCTGATAATATAAAGCATTGCCATGGAAGTCAGTCAGACTGTATGTGCATTGTCGTTCAGTCTCACTTGCCAAACAATAGTTTGAATGACCTGTTGACAATACATTTCTAGACCTATACGTTAAACTGAGCGAACAACATCCTCTCCGGTATGACGGGTTGTTCCTCCTTTTTCTAAAACAGCCTCACTGGTTTCCTACTTTATAAACAAACAAAGGAAGCAATGTTCTCTGTTTTACATATTATATATTATTATATATAATATATATTAACATTAATATACATTATATATTACATATCATATGTATGTATATTATTGAAGGCTGCTCAGCAAAGGCTGCAAGTAGTATGTTCATAATTTTAACAAAATATCGATACCACAGTGAGGGCTTAACATGTAAGGTTTTTGTCAATAGACACATTTAACAAGGTTATAACATGACAATTAATACTTTTTATTTCTTGGCCAGTAGCAGAGAACAGCAGAAATACTTTAGTAAACATTAACAATAATTAAAACTTCTTTACATAAAAGAAAAAAGCCTCTTATAGTTTCAGATATTCCAAGAAAAAACATTTGCCATGGTGACATCACTATGTAACACTCACGCTTCTATTGGCTAGTGCTCCAACACATTGTACGTGATAGGCTAAGAGGTGAGACATCTCTAATCGTTTGACCAATCACAACAGAGCCGGCCAGCTAACCAATCAGAGCAGACTGGGCTCTGATTTCAGACAGAGGGTGAAAAGAGGTGCTGCAGCACAGGCAGTATGAGACAAATAAAGACATTTTTGAACATTTGAAGTAGTAAACATATCACATCAGAAGTGCAAAATAAATGATGGAACCCTAAAATTAGCCTAATGTAAAATATTCAGAATCTGGATAAATTACACATTTTGATTGGCTTATTGCTTTAGAATACAGTTTTTTTTTTAGGTTGATTGATTTGTTACTTTAGAGTAGGCCCACAGCTCATTTAACTGTCTCCACCGTGCTGTGAAGGGCTGGTGGAGCGTTGCCCAGTCAGAGGAGTCCTCCCTGGGTGCAGCAGCTCAGATCACCTGGCTCTCTCACTGCTGTAGCTCCAAGGCTGATCCCTGCCTGCTGCTGCAGTGCGCTGTGAGCTGTGGTCTGTGGCCGTCTGCTGTACACAAATACTCACACACTCTCATCAAAGGAGAGCCCTGAAGAAAAAAACACATAAAGAAAGTTCCTATGACCATAGCAGTGTTCTTGCAAGTCTCAGCCTATTTAATGCAAAACTCACCCTTCCCATCCATTAAAAAAAAAAAAAACGTCATTTGTTACATGGCTTCCTCTGTATTAGAGCTGAAACGATTACTTGATTAGCAGATAAAGTACATTTTTCATGTTGAATGCCTCGGATATGGTGTTTTCCTGCTTTTGTCTGTTTTATATCATAATACAGTGAATAGATTTTAGATTTGGGTTATAAAACAAGTCATATATTTATTCTTCACAGTCGGGTCACTCATTACTGGATCAGTGAGCTGCATGAGACGATACTGACAGGCTGTCAGGAGAGAGAGAGGGGGAGAGGAAAAGAGAGAGGCTCCCGTAATTTCTCCTGTGTTATTCTCAAGTTAATGTAAACTTGAATACTGTACATCATTTGAATGTAATAATTATGTTGGTTGTTTGTGGAAGCGCCAGTGAATGAGCCCCATTAACTGAGTTTTAAACATCACTTTAAATGGAAGATCCCCATAGGCCCCGCCCACTCGATCCGATCGGCGATCTGTATCGGCCGATACTGATTCTGACTATCGGTGATCGGCCCCAAAATCGGCGAGCGGAGCATCCCTAGTGGCAGTCCAGTCTATATAAAAACCGCATTACTCTTGCCTCCATGCACACAAGAGCCTGAATGTTGTTTTACCATTCTCCAGCTTTAACTGCATTTAACCAAAGGAAATGAAGGAATAATACATTCAAAAACACCCTAAAAAACATTTTGTGTGGGAGAAAATCCATTTAGGGGGGGGGGTCACCAAAGTGAACTCTACATATGGAAACCACTTCAACATAAACATCCTGTTATTGATGTTGGTTATGTAGCACAAATGACTCAGCACTGAAAGCAGCATTACTTTGCCAGCAATAAAAGCAGACATGATGGATTCTCTCCACTCAGCGACTTTAAAATACCTCCAAATGAATTGTAATAGTGTGCTGGAATGAGAAGTGCTAATGGCTGCAGAGAAAGCAGGTAGCAATATTGAAAGCTCAGACTTAAATGCTTCTGAAAACAGTCTGCAGTAACCAAGATAATGCTTGGTTTTTGTAAATTGGCAAAAATATGCTAACACCCGGCATGGTTCTTTATGATGTGTGGGAAATAAATCCTGCATCACTTGATGCTACAATAAGAGTCTGTTAAGGAATACAATGAGATGCCAGCAGGACAGCAAGGAAGAGTGTCTACCCATCTCACGCATTATACCCCCACCTCCTCTTCAAACCACTTCTACTGCAATACAAGCTGCCCAGTTTCCTAAAGGTAAACGTGCACGTGACTTGCATTTGTTGAGATATTTGCTCCAGCAAAAGGTCTTCACCAGCAGTCATAGATGATTCCCCGAGTATCCATTTAGCTTTTTAGATGAAAAAGGTTTTCCTCTCCTCAGGATGACAGCAACTGTTCATGAAATATACATCAGTCAGCAGAATGAGCCTTTTCTTTCATCACTGATTCTTTAATGAATTCAGCCAAAGGGTGATGCCGCCTGTTGGCATTTGGCTTCTCTTCTTCATGGGTGTTTTTACACACCCACTACACTGAAGGCCAAACTGTTCCATACAGCCAGTGACAATGATTTGAGAAAGGAAGGTCATAATTATAAATAAGTAGTGAGGCATTTAAAAGACACAATGAGTCTCAACGTGGTTGGCGATGTATTGCTATATTTGGTGGCTCTATTTAAACATATCAATGCAGTCATGTGAAGCTACAAGGTTTTTATCTAAAAAAGATTATTGATGAGCAATAAACGATTCAACATATCTTTGCATATTGCATATCTTTTTTGGCCCAACTTGGATTTACGGAAATTATAAAGGATAGTTTTCAAATTTGTGTGATATTTTATATACCAGATTTTTCACGTGTTACCAAAATAAATCTACATATGGGCTTAAATAGAACACTATTTGCATTTTTATATATGCATGGCTGCGATCTAAAGATGTAGGATGTCACCACTGCGTTGGATGTTTCTGAACACAAGCCCATGGAGAACCTGTCATTCCTCTAAAGAAAATCAGCGAGCCTTTGCAGAGTCCCTCAAAGAGGAACACGTCCTAATTGACGGGAGCCAGATCAAACGCCTTCATTAAATATGGAGGCAGAGTGGAACGCAGATGAACGCTTGTGCCGGGATGTTTGTGCAGACAGAAGGTCTCATATTGATTTTCGTCCCTCTGGCTAAAAGAGGTTAGTGTGGAGGAAGGGGAAAACTAAATATTTTAGGAGGAGAAAATCTGGACAGAACAGCAGATTTTGATTGGATAACATTGTTTCTTTGGGCTGTGATTGGCTCCCAACTAGACTTGGGGGCCGTCACATATTCTCCTCAGTGATAGTGTGAGTTACAGATCAGAAAAAACGTTTGGTTCTGTAAAACAGTGAAGGCCACTTTCTTACTTATTTTTTTGGACAATTAATAAGAGCTGTATTGATGATCGTTTCAGTGAAAGGCAACATTATCTTGTTCCAAGTTCTCTAATGTTACATTTTGCTGCTTTTTCTCGCATGTATGATGTTAACTAAATATCCTTGTATTTTGTTAGTCAGGTAAAAAAAAACATCACCCGGGTCTGGGAAATTGTGAAGGACATTTGTCATTATTTGATGGACAAAACAATACATCCGTAAATCGCAATTTATTAAAGCTCAAATTGATATATTTAAATTTGGAAAAATATATAGTTCACCATTATCGGATCCGATTTTATTGCTCTGTTGTTTCTATTCTACTATCAACTTCCTGCTCTAGTGGTAGCCCTAGCTTCTAGCTGCCACCATTAGCCCACACAATGTAGCCAGGCATCATTTATTTTGATGAAATAAGCATTTAGAAAAGTATTTTGTTAAATCAAATCGAGTTAATACCTAATAAATCAAGTTACTTCATCTCAGTAATTACCAAAAAGCATTCCTGCAGTGTATTTATAATTCGCCCACAAAGGCTTATGTCAAGAAAGAGAAAGGGGTAGGCTCTAAATGTTAATTGTCTTGCTGTATGTATCCTAATATGAATCCCCCCAACTGATGTTAAGGCCACTTTGGTTGGAGAGGGGGGGTTGGTGTGTTACAGAGAGGATCCCCCTCCATTCATTTTTCACACTGCGTTAAGGTATTGAATTTCACAGCCTGTTGAAGTTAGCAATCAGATAACACCAGCCTTGGAGGGGTGTAGACAATCAAAATGCAAAAGCAGGTTGGAAAGAGGCTTTTCAGTACAGCTGCGAGACTCTTAAATCTGTTCTTCATTCAGCACGCACTAACAATGGGATATTCCCCGGGGGTCATGCAGGCCCGGCGGCCCATTGTTTCTCTGCAGCAGAGGACTGGCTGTTTAGACAGTGGTATTCACACACAGCAGTTATCAAGTGGAAGCAGGCCAACTCCGAGATGGAGGGAGGTGTTCACAGGAGAGAGTGAACTGGTAAATGTAAAGCCGGCCCTGGTCTAATCCTCTAGCAAGACGCATGCAGACTCTTATCTGTTCAATATTACTCCAGAGCTTAGCAGGAAGTGCAGTCAAATCTGATTATCTGCACCTTTTCTGCAGATGTAATGTATTTCATATTTATAGCTATTATTTAAATGTTACAACTTTAAGACATGTTCACAAACAATTTAATTATTATTTAATTAATTGATACATTCATATTAATTAGCTACTTGTGGTGTACACTAAAATCATGGTTTTGTGTGCATAAAAAACCCCGAAAATGGATATGTTTAAAAAAAAAAAGTATTTTAAACTTGAAAACGGTTTTCTTTTTAAAAACAAGGAACATTTGAAACACTTATTCTCCTGATGATCAGCACATCTGAGTGATGCTTTTGAATTTCCGTTATATGTTTCCATTCCATTAGCCATTATTTGTTCTGCGCTCGCCATATTGTCGAGCACACCTGCACACCAATCAACTTGTCGTAGTAACCTCAGCATAACCTCATGCTAACAGCTAATGGCTAAATGTGTGGAACGCACACTTGTGAACCTTTAATTTGACATTACATGCACAAGCCTGGATAGTGTGCGCTCTGCGTGCAGCTGACCTGCTACTGTGCTGGTTAGGTACAAATAAAAAAAAACGTACACCCCTATGATTCTATATGCTGATCATGTCTATGTCAACCTCTCCTAGGTTTACAGAGACAAAAAACCTAATCTAGAACACATTACCACCATATAGTTAACTCAGCACTTCTTTGAAACCGTCTCAACAAAAGCTTTGAGTGCCTCGAAAGAACAAAGAACCCCAGAATAGAAGCAGCAGTGCTCTGCTAAGACGTCAGAGATGCTATTGATTATAAGTGAGCCCTGGCAACTAGAGAAGAGCAGCGCTTGGTCCCAAATCCCGCACTCACTCAAATTAAATTAGCTTAGCCTGAGCTCAGCACTTTAGCTCGGCAGCAGCTTTATGTTGCCTGGGAAATTGGAAGACATTGCTAATTTAGTTAGCCAGCAGCTGCTACCTGCCAGAGGCTGACGCAGTCATGTGTGGGAGTTAGGGCTGTATCCGAATATTCGTTCGTTGGAGTACTATTCGGGTTTCAATTTCGTTATTCGTTTTTTTTTTTTTTTTTTTTTGGAAAACTCCAATATCAACGTAAGAGCTTGTGCCTCTTCGGGGGGTGCTAACACTTAACCATAAACTTTATCGTTTACTTTCTGTTGAGTAAGAAGATAAACATCTGATAGGAGGTGGAAAGCACCGATTATCTAGTGGTTCACCAGTTTGCCCTCAGGTGGTAACAGACTGGGTATGAACCACATGAGCTGTAGTGGAGTCAGGTGAGCGTGTCGAGGCATGGAGCAGAAGGCGACAGGTGTAGCAGTCAGACAGGTTTGTCAAAGAAGAGATAGACAACGGGCGAGAACAGAGAGGCTGATCACTGCTGCCTGTTCTGGGAGGGAACATGCTTTTCACAGTTCTTCATTTCAGTTTTAAACAGAGTTGTTTAGGACTGTAATAATTCATTTAAATTGTTTTACATTAAATATGGTTCAGACTTTCATGGTCCCCACAGGAAGTCATTATTTTCAAACGGTCACTGTTTTCACTTATACGGTGAAATAACATCTTCAAAAAAAGCCCACTGTTTGGATTGGGATAACAATTTTGTAAATCAATGAAGTGAAATGAGCCCTGCCAACCATTGTGGTTTTGAGTAAAAAAAACTTCTTCCCCTCTGGAGTATTTTAAAGATTTGGTTAAACCCTCTGACATTTAAATCTACCCCCATTATCAGGTCAACATTTGTCCAGTTATTAGGACAATATACCTGCAAATGTTCACAGCATTGTTATATTAACATTGTGCAATCATGTTAGCATGTTATTATTAGCTTTTAGCTCCAGTTACAGCCCCACAGCTGCTAGCAAGACTGTAGACTCTTAGTATTGTTATTGGTCGCTTGAGGAGCAGTTGCACATGAAATCTATTGATTTCATGTTTTGTATCACTCTTGACCTCCCAGATGTTTTATAGGTCCATATTTTAGAATTAAATAGTATTAAAAGATAAAAACACAACAAGTCCATTGATGGGATTTATTCTTCCTTTTTTTTCCTTTCTATTGAAAATTATTATAAGTCTTAAACTCAAATCTTCATGGTTCTAAAAAACAAGACAATGTGACACAGGTATTTACTAAGGAAACAGTCAAATGTTAATTTTGGAGAGGACATAATGAATTTCAGAGTAGGACACAGATTGAAAGCAAGAATATTAGCAATGGTTATGGACTGAACTGAAAATATATGAACCTAATTGTTATCTTTTGATGAAAAGTCAAAAACACTGACTTCTTAGCTAGCAGAAATATATATGTTGTCTTGTAACCCATAAATACATGGTTGTCATATTTTCTACCAAGCTATTCACAGTTCTCTACAGTGTGTTGTGGGAACACTTTGGTTCATCAGCCTTCCTCTAGCTGTGGTGTTATAATGGAGATTGATGCATCCTTTTGCTTAATGTCTGCCTCTGTCTCCCCCCCCCCTCTCTGTCCAGGTATCGACTATAAAACCACCACCATCCTTCTGGACGGGAAGAGAGTGAAGCTGGAGCTTTGGTAAGCACACTCATTACTGCTGAAATGATAACACATTATTGTCTGTACAAAAGATAGTGACTACTGTTTTTTTGTGGGATGCACTCTTAAATCCAAATGCCTTTATGGGTTAGTCCACATATAATATGTTTGTGGTATGAAACCATGAACAGTTTTGTGTTTATCCACCCCAGTGTTTACCATTTTTCTCTGAGGTCTCAAACCTGCTCACGCATTGACAAATGACTTTTGAACAATACAACGACACCATGTCTATCTAAGGTTGTCCCTGTTACTCTGGATAATCTACATACCTCACGGCCTGTTTTTATAAGAAATATCTTCAGGAGAGTGTAGTGCAGAGGAAGAATGATCACAGAAGTCATTTTGTGATGATAATTGCGAAATGTAAATCACCTCTATGTATTTAAGCGGAGTGAAGATATAGAAATCCCTGAAATATATCTCAAAATCTGGACGAATAAAAGCCAAAATGACTTTGTCTTAGGAGACCCCTGAAGTGTTCATAATGAATGCAAGTACAACATTACATCATTTGATTAATCTCATCTAAAAATTGCCTGTGGTGTCTAAGGGTCTTCATTCTCATATTTCTCCGACCTACCCGCAGAGCGAATGTAGTGTAACCCAACATTGTTCAAACCAAAAAAGCTTCCAAAGATGTGCAATATATCAGGTTGTTTTTGAACAAATGTGTATTAAAAGATGCGTCTTGAATATTTCAGTCTGATGGATGCTGCAGCCAGGAAAAAACATCAAGTCTTGGCTCTGAATATTTCACTCGGTGTAAACATCACAGAGCTTCAAGGGAGAGCTGGAACAACATGATACAGAATATATCTCAAGCTGTCAGACAGGGAAAGCTACTTAAGGGGAAAAGAGGAATAATGTCAAGGGGTTGCATTTCATTAACATCATATTTTAAAAATAAGCACAAGCGACAAAAATACATTAAGCAGGAAGGTTTCTATATTCGTTAAAAACATGTTTGCAGATGCATCACATGTTTTCTTCTTATTTAAACCAATCATTTGAAACATCTAATTGTAAAAACAGCCAGCTGCAGGGTGCATGTACTTTCCTGCAGATGTTGTGGGTCCTTATTCTCTGCATATTATTACATGCCTGACAAATAATCTTGCATCAGTGGAGATGCAGCAGATGTATCTGTCAGTAAAGACACTGCAGTGCTAGGTGGAAGTAGGCCACTCCTCAGGGGAGAAGCAACGCCTTGTCTTCCCTGTGGAGGGAAATGTTTCAAAGCATGCAGCCCTATGATGCTGACTCTTCCTAATCTGTCCTGCCTGTTGTTTCACTGTCTAAATGTGGTCCTTTCCATCCTCTGCTTCCTTTCTATTTCTGTCTCTGTTGCCATCTGTGTCTCATGACTCTCAGAGAGAAACGGAGGAAATGTCAAGTTGAAGGTGGTGTTATTTATATTTCTTTTTGTCAGCAAATCACTTCTGCAGAAAACTATTAAAACACATAAATGAGAAACACTGTTGCACCTGGTGACAGGTCAATCCAATCCAATCCATTTTATTTCTATAGCACATTTAAAAACAACAGAGTTGAACAAAGTGCTGTACATCAACAACTGTATAAAAACATAGCATAAATACATAAAAAAGACAGACGCGACATGAAACAAATGTAAAACACGAGACAATGAAACCAGATCAGAAGCCACAGACTGAGAAACTCTCCTACATGACGTAAAAACAATACAAAACACTAGTAAGATAAAAACCCACATTTAAAAGCACATGTGTCATCTGGTCTGTAAATGCAAGGGAAAAGAAGTGGGTTTTTAAACGAGATTTAAAAACAGGCAGAGTTGGAGCAAGTCCAACCTGGAGGGGAAATTCGTTCCATAATTTTGGAGCTGCAACAGCAAAGGCTCTGTCTCCTCGCTGCTTCAGCCTTGATTTTGGGACTACCAGAAAGAGTCTGTCAGCAGACCTCAGTGACCGTGTGGGCGTGTATGGTTTTAAAAGATCTGCACACACATCGTCCTGCTGCTGTTAAAGTGGCCTAGTCTGCTCATGTTCAGGTGTATATCTGTATTTAGTGCCTCTCCTGTGACATGTCTCCATGCTTTAATGTTCAAAAAGCTCTTTATTTTTCTCATACTGCCTGTGCTGCAGCACCTCTTTTCACCCTCTGTCTGAAACCAGAGCCCAGTCTGCTCTGATTGGTTAGCTGACCAGCTCTGTTGTGATTGATCTACCGCTTAGAGAGGTCCCGCCCCTTAGCCTATCAAGCACAATGTGATGGAGCGCCAGCCAGTAGAAGCGAAAGTGTTAAATGGTGATGTCACTATGTTCCAGAAGTAAAGAAAGAGTCCAATGGAGGCGTTTCATTTCAGGCTCAAAGTGCAATATGTTGGTCTGCAGACAGGGGAGAATCATTTCATTCTTTCATTTTCATTCAGAAAGCTGCACCTGTCTTGCAAACATTGACTTAGTATGAACTAGGGATGCCAGAAACTGACCATGATCAAATTAGAAAATCGGACAGCCCTGGCGAATATTAATCAATTATTCGCCGCCCCCCCCCCCCCCGCGGGAGAGAGAAATAAAAAGTATTTTCGCAGAGCTTGCATTTTACTTCATTTGCACTTGTCAGTTCGAAGTAGTTCCACGAGGAACTCTTCTCTGAACGTGCCGCTTTGTTCCTCTTTAGTTGTGTTGTTCTCACTGTTCTGTATATCGCCAATAAATCAATCGCACGTGTGACGGAGAGGGGGGGCCGGGGGGGGGGGGGGCGGGTCGGGTCGGGTCGGGTCGGGTCGGTGTGTAGCAGGCTGCAGCAGCAGTCTGCTTCCTCCAAGTTTACAGTAAAACAAACTGGTGGTGTGACCAATGGCCATTTACAATTATTATTACTATTATTAGCATTAGTCTATATTTTGGTTGAAACTAAGCCAGGAAAAAAAAGAAAAACATAAATAATAATAAAAAGATATATTAATAAAATCGAATTTTAAAAATAATTTTCGATTATGGAGACTGTAACGAATATTCGAAAAATCGAATAATCGCTGGCATCCCTCGTATGAACATCCTACATGGTGGACCGCACAATAGTTGATTGACAGGTGATTGTCTCTCAGACTTTGACATCTGACTGGATGAACACACGACCGGCTCATCTGGCTTTGCTTTCCTTAAGCAGCTCGTCTGAAATGATCCTTCAAACTCTCCACCGTAAATAGTTTCTGAATCTACAGTAAGATGTCAAACGAGCTGTGAAGTTGGAAAATGATGCTTCCTTTCATATTTCTAACACCGGTTTAAAAATAGCTCAATTAATCCTCAATGATTCTCTTTGTAAAGAATCTGATATCACAAGATGGGTAAGATAGAGGTTGGAAAAAGAAACAGGCTACAAAATAATGTGAGAGACAAAAAAGGGTCATAGGGATATAGTCATCCAGATGTGGGTAAAAGTACATCGAGTACAACAACGTTACTTCAGGAAATATTATAAGCTTAGTTGGATTCATTCAGACCAGTAGCCGGACGAGTGTTTCCGTCTTCACTGTTTCACATATGAATCTTTCTTTCTGTCTTTTCTCTCTGTTCTCAGGGACACCTCAGGCCAGGGGAGGTTCTGCACCATCTTTCGGTCATATTCCCGCGGGGCTCAGGTGAGAAACAAACTCATTAAATAGACTACTGAACTTTGCATTAAGTGAACCTGCTGGATCAAATGCAGGTTAATGCTAAAAGATATTTGAGCAGATGGTAATCCTTGTTATAAAGTTTGAGAAACACTGTCCTAATGTCATAGTGATTACAGACAGACGTGTGACTGCTTGTTGTTGTTGTCGTGTGTCTCCAGGGGATCCTGCTGGTGTATGACATCACAAACCGCTGGTCCTTTGACGGCATCGACAGGTGGATCAGAGAGATCGATGAGGTGAGTGTGGAGGTGGAGCCCTGCCATCAAACTCTGGGGCAGAGCATTTTTCAGATACATTTACATTCTGACACTTTTATTTTGAAAAATACAATTTACATTTGTACGTTTCTGTTAACATGCATCGATTGTTGGAGGCTTTTATTTTGAAAAACAGGCCTCGTCCTGAGTCCCCTTTTAAGATACAATTACCATCTGGTGCTTTTATTTTGAAAAACATACTCCATGTTCTCTATAAGTAATGTATCCTTTACAAACAACTGTATTAGGGCTTACGCTACTTACTAGTTGCCTTACTGTGTGTATATATATATATATAAAGCTTTCATAGTATTTTACGCTATGATGTATATTTGTCGATTAGTCTTAATAAAGTCTGCTGCCCAGACTTATTTTCAATACCTTAAGTACTCTCATTTAATGTAACACAAAAACTTGGAAAAAGACAATGAATTATTGTGAAAGGAGGCTGGGTTTTATTTTCAAAAGTGAATATCTAACGGGGAAACACAATGCCATTGTTAACCCTTCCTGCCTCGGCTGCCACGCCGACAGAGACGTTTATTAGTTGTTGATTTGTGTTGTTTTGCTGCAACAATAATGAAGCTGCATAATAATAATAATCAGACAGTGTAACTTTTAAATATGAGCAAAACCTTTTTTATAAATATATATATTTATTGTGTGTGTGTAGGGGGGGTGCTACACTCATGTCCTTCCTGCTGAATTAGAGACCAAGAGGATGTCTGTGTATAGGCGCGTCTGTGTGAGTGTGTGTGATATTTTTGGCCTGTGGAATGTGTGTTTCAGTCCGGCCTTTCCTGCTCCACCTCCAAAGACGTGGTGTGGCGCTCGTCCACTTTAGAAACACAGAAATAAAGTAGAGATGGAGGGATGAAGATCTCTGTGTGGTGACAGTCTGCAGAGAAACTGTTAGGTTTTATCTCTGGTTATATGCTGTATGTTTTACATATCTTTACTATCTTTCACCGACAGTTGTTTCCTGTTGTCTCAGTGTAGAGCTTCATCTAATTATCTTTTTACAACTATTTTATCATTATGTTCCGTTTCCTTTTCAGTTTTATTCATTATATTAATCTCTTCTTTATTTTGATCGACCAATGTATTGTGTAGTTAAAGGTGGTATGAGTGCTTTGTCTCTGCTCTGCTGGAGATGTACATACCCTAGCTTCAGGAGAAACCTCTAGTGTTAACTGCTGCTGCTGCAGATGTTGCTGCTGCAGATGTTGCCGTTCCCCCTGAGCCTGCTGCTGCTGCTGCTGGTGCTGCTGCTGTGTCACAGGGACTCTGAGCATGAGAAGGCAGCAGGGAGGGAAGTGAGGAGAGGCTGATGAGGGGTGACAATGCGTGGGAGTGAAGGAGGCCATCGTGTTTCACAGTTTCTCAGAACAGATGGGATGAGTTAGCGAGACCTGAGGCTGAGAGACAGGGCCAGATACACGCTTGTTGAATTAATAACAAGCTTCCTCTGCTAACTTAATGTGAATTAAATGTCTCTCACACAGTGGTGGAATGTTACGAAGCACTTTTACAAAAAGTGTAGGTACTTAAGTATGAATTTTCATTTAATCCACTAGACATCCTTCTCCTGTTGACTTTAATTGCGGGTTGGAATTAATAACTGGTTGGAATCCATAGCTTTACTTCCTTTATTCTATTTAAAGATCGTCATTAGCACTAGCATTAGCATTTGCTATTCTTCCTGGGGTCCAGACACAGAGTCTAACGCACATACATACTTTAGCCACCTCAACACACAAAATAAGAACAGCTCATTAAATGAACAAAGCTTCATTCTGTCCTCCTGTTTGATTCTTTACTTCCCAGCATGCACCAGGAGTGCCTCGGATCCTCGTTGGTAACCGGCTGCATCTGGCCTTCAAACGGCAAGTTCCCACGGAGCAGGCGCGGGCATACGCCGAGAAGAACGGCATGACCTTCTTCGAGGTGAGCCCGCTGTGCAACTTCAACGTCATCGAGTCGTTCACGGAGCTGTCGCGCATCGTGCTCATGAGGCACGGCATGGAGAAGTTCTGGAAGCCCAACAGAGGTGAGCGGGGGGGCATGTGGGTGTGGTCACCGTGATGTTCATTCTTTCTTTCTTTGTGTGTCACTTTTTGGCTGACTGAGGTGTCCAGATTTGATTTGAAAATAAAAGATAGTTGGTTTATCCTTTTCTTGTTATAATTGAAATCCCCATTAGCACTAGCATTAGCATGAACTATTCCTCATGGGGTCTGCATTCTGATCATGCTCAATTCAAATAAAGATTTGCAACTAAATAGGAAAATCAAACTATATTGCAAGCTGCAAAGAAACAAGGTCTAAAGTCTGTGTGCTTTTCACTGAGCCACACCTCTGCAGCCCCTCTCCATTCAAACCTAAACCCCACCTGCTGGAGTAACACACACTCAAATTCCATAATAAACACACATCACACAATCTCATGATCCAAAGGGCAAATTAATTGTGTGTGTGTGTGTGTGTGTGTGTGTGTGTGTGTGTGTGTGTGTGTGTGTGTGTGTGTGTGTGTGTGTGTGTGTGTGTGTGTGTGTGTGTGTGTGTGTGTGTGTGTGTGTGTGTGTGTGTGTGTGTGTGTGTGTGTGTGTGTGTGTGTGTGTGTGTGTGTGTGTGTGTGTGTGTGTGTGTGTGTGTGTGTGTGTGTGTGTGTGTGTGTGTGTGTGTGTGTGTGTGTGTGTGTGTGTGTGTCTGGAGAGAACTTTGGGATTTGAGCCTTTGCAGACCATTTACATGCACACAAACCTATATAACACACTACAGGGAAGGGAAAGCCCCCAAAAGCATAATGGGGCCTCTTTAAATGTATTCATTTTAAATAAAGTTTTAACATTAGTAAGAATATGTCTATATTTGCCCACTTTTTTGCATCTCTATGTCTCTTAATGCATTTATCAAATCACCATCACACAGCAGTGTTTACCCCTACCTGCGAGGAAACATGATTCGGATTCTAGTAAGAAATAATTAGATTAATCACTTTTTTCAAATTGAGGATTAGTTCGAGTTTTTTTTTTAAGGGGAGATAGACGACAGACACTCAAAGCCTTATTCAAACCTGGATGCTTATATTTATCCTTTATTTTTTCTGTTCACTCGGATTGTTAGCTGTGGAGTTTTTTAAAGCTGTAGCTCGATATGATCTCAGTGTAACGTGTCCCTCCTCTCCGCAGTGTTCAGCCTGCAGGACCTGTGCTGCAGAGCCATCGTGTCGTGCACGCCGGTCCACCTCATCGACAAGCTGCCGCTGCCCGTCGCCATCAAGTCGCACCTCAAGTCCTTCTCCATGGCCAACGGCATGAACGCCGTCATGATGCACGGACGCTCGTACTCCCTGGCCAACCCCGCCGGCGGCTCCAAGGGGAACAGCCTGAAGCGCTCCAAGTCCATCCGTCCGCCTCAGAGCCCGCCGCAGAACTGCACCCGCAACAACTGCAAAATCTCCTAGTAAACGCTCAGGAGGCGGTTGTTCAGGATGTTAGAGGAAAAGAGCACATCCCTAAACCTGAGGAGCTGAAGAGCAAGAATGATGGATAAAGGGATGGCTTCCTGCTCTCTTAAAGAGCCTTTCCAGAGGAGAAGCCCCTCCGGATATCAGAGGACAGCACGGAAAAACATCTGGGTCTCCACAGACCGGACCCCCACGAGAGTCACCGCTGGCGTTTTAACTACCTGTACAGAACTCTCTCACAAACGTATTTAGTTCCTGGACATGATGCACGCCTCATTGTGTGTGTGCATCACAGAAATCACCTCAACATTCTTCACTTTGTGTGTCTCACATTACCCTCTTTCTTCTGGTTATAAGTCCACACCCAGTTTATTTGCTGTTTTAATGATCAAGACACTAGTAACCAGTCAGTCATTTTATTGATCATTGTTTCTCCTCCGCTGGCTGTAACGGTTCCGTTTGAAAACTCACGGGCGAATTCACAAAGAATGGATTGTGGCTGCTGATGGCAAAGTCCCTCACTAAAGATAACACGGCGCTAATATGATTACAACACACCACCAATGTTTTGCACTTGAGTGCATTTAGCTATTTGTGACATGGATACAAGGCAGAAAGAACATTTAAAAAATACATTTCCAGGCCGTGAGCTGCAGCTCCTGAAACACAAGATGCAGTCATTCTTTCAGAAGCTTCATGCAAGGAATGTCAATGTGACAAAGAGAACGCTTTCTAGGATTCAACCACCAACTCTCCGAAGTTATCATTTCCCTGAAACTGCTTGTGCGCTGATCTTTGTGAATTGGACTCTTTTGTGCCACGTTTCTGCACATGACCAAATGTAAATATGTTCAAATAGCACAGCAGCACATTTAAACCACGGCGAAAGCGTTAAGAATGACATATTTCTCTTTGTCTTGTATATATGAGCCGCAGAAGTCGTGCAATCCTTTTTGTGAATTCGCCCCTCGTTTCGCCTCGGAGGTTAAAACTCTCTCTAAAGGGAAATCTTGGCGACAACCTGAGTGAGGGTTTAACAGCCGGTGTCTTCAGGACCACCTTTAAAATCGTTTAAAAGACGCAGCCTGATCCAGATCTCAGGTCCGGACATGCTGGTGCGCAGGAGTCCATTCCTGAATATTCCCGTAGAGATGTCAATATAAACACAAACTGCATTTGTAATGAGTCCGTTCACCTGAACCTAACCGGCTTAAAGGAAGAAGAAAAAATTGCACAGATGAGTCAAATTCCCCGTTTCTCTCATTAGAGTTTGTTTTCATTTTTTATTGTTTACACAACCACTTTCCGCGGCAAGGGATCCAGCGATGCTTGTTGCCATAGATACCACTCAATACCTTTTTTGTGAAATATGTATTTTTAACTCTCATCCACTCGCATCCCATTACGAGCTAGTCCTTTCTTGGCCAAAGGGCTTCTGGGAGTTGTAGTCAGGAGAGGTAAAGCCTCACACACTGTTGGATACAGGCAGAGATTACTTTTTACTATCACTCCTTTTTTTCCCCACTCTCCCAAATGTTTAGAGACACCTTCTTCTTCTTGTGTTCACATTTCACACCTCCAGGCTTTTATTTGAACTAAAACTCTGCTCCGTCATAGTGGAACTCAAATAGCGGGGGGGCATATCACTTTAATTCTCCTGTTCTCTGCACTGTGTAGAATTCCCCCATCCCTCCCAGCCGTGTTTTCCATACATTGATTAGAGGTGGAGCGAGAGGAAGTGCAGATATCTGAGAGGGCGGGGGGGCGGGGGGGGGGGGGGGGGGGGGGGGGGGGGGGGGGGGGGGGGGGGGGGGGGGGTGTAGCTGCTGAGCATGGTGTAGCTGCTGAGCATGGTGTCAGGTAGAGTGGAATGTCTGCAGTATTTACAGTAAACAGCGCCTGTGTTTACCACTCTTCTCTGAATGTCACTCAGTCCCCTTCAGCCTCTCGTCTCCTGCAGTATCTCCCTATAGGGCTAAACGGCTGCTTTAGCTCCACATCACAGATTATTCATCAAAATAGTGTTAAATACTTTATGAAGAGAAAGCAGTGTAAAGTAGAATTCATATTAAAAGCTTCCATTAGGTTAACATTCGTTCCAGAAGACAAATAGTTTCAAATCATTTCAGACAAACCGGAGGAAAAGGGCATACGATGGGGACTATTTTCAGTGGCATTCAGGACCAGTGGGAAACGGCAGATACGAGTTGTAAACACTGTTCAACAGCGAGGAAACATTGGCTCTGACTTGTAGGGTTAACGGTGTTGGACACATGGGTTCCTCCGAGTCCCTGATATTTAATCTCACGGGAATGAAAGCAGCATTTCTTCTTCTTCTTCTTATTCCCTGCCTCTGATGTACACCTCGCCTCTGCATGCTGTCCCATGATTCATAGTTGCTGAATAATAGATGCTCTTTTGGTAGATCTCTGGAGGGCTTCATCAGTCCGTCTCTTTCATCCTCCTCTCAGCTCCACCTCGCAGCGTCCGCCTCGCTTTCTCGATAACACAAAGAGTGAGCTGCTGCTGCTGCATACACTTTTCCCTCAGGTGTTCAGTGTGTTTTCTACGGAGGCCCGGAGGCCATGGACAGAAAACACATATATATATATATATATATATATATATATATATATATATATATATATATATATATATATATATATATATATATATATATATATATATATATATATATATATATATATATATATATAGCTATATATATATATATATATATATTATATATATATATGGAGGTTTTAAAAAATGAGGACTCAACTTGGGGCTCAAAATGATCAATCACTATATAGTCATAACGATATTAATACCACATTCTCTGGTAATATAATTAATAATTATTAAATAAATAATGACATGTTAAGGCCTGTACACTTTTTTTCTCATTTTAAGTTTAGTGCAAAATAAAAATGATGGCGATAAATGAATATCGGCCCAGCGTAACACGCGATTGAAGCAATATTGAAAAATGCCCACAACATACGTGTTTCAACGGTTTTCTATATATCATAATATTGCCCGGCCATAACTCCAGCTTGTTGCCAAGATTTCCAGAAGAGGTTTCCCTCTCTGTGCTTCATCCTTGCGGACTTGTTTAGTGTTATATTGTACATCCAGCCTCTGTGTGTTATGTGATAATAACACACATCTTTCTCCATGTTTTGGTTCCACACCTCCCTTTTTATTTTTTTTATTTGTTTTATGGACTTCCTCCTCAGTGTTTGCTGACTCTGCTAAATTGTGTTTCTCCTGAAATGAGTTTCCATTTTGGACTTGGATGGTGGAAGGTTCCGGACCGGATATTGTGGAAGTGTTTGTACAAAGGAGCAGACTGTTGTGATAACGATGAGAACAAAATGTAAAACACTATTCTGGTTTTTGGCTAAAGCTGCTGAGTAATCTGAAGCGAGTGTGTGTGAGAAAGAGTGTGAGTGTGTGTGTGTCTAGGTGTGTTTTGTGAGAATGTTCCTTTAAACACAAAGCTGAACATTTTTTTTCTTTTTTTAAATTATTGATTGTACAGTTTTAAGGTGAGGGTATGAAGAGATAAGACTTTTTCACAATAAAACTATTGAATGTTGGAGTCAAGATGTCGCTGCTGAGTATTTTTATGTTTGACTGCTGCTTTAAAGCATAGACTATATATATATATGTGTAAAGGAACTTTGGTGTTGTTTATGTTGGAGAGGTTGCCATCTACTGGAAGTTAAATGCATCCAAACTCATGGACTTTTAACTTTAACTTAATTGAACTAGTTTGTGCTATATAAGTTAAATGGTTAATCATTTTTTGTTGTTATAATTATTATCCTGGGGTAACACTTCAGATCTGATTTCAGCATTTTTGTGAAAATTCTCTAAATGTCTCCCTTTTTTATAGTAATACATTTATTATTTTAAAATAATGCATTATAATTCATAAACTAAAACATGTATAGCTTTAAAATAGTCAGATCTTAATGACATACCACAAAAAGTAAGGACAGTTACAATTTCTGGTACCCCCAGGTGCTGACAATCAGGTGCCTGGTTGCCTGATTAGCTTCTGATTGTCTGCACCTGCCAGCAAAGCCAGAGTGACCAACACAACCACGTCGGCTGACTTGGGACAAATGCTGGTTGAAGAATGGGATGCCATCCCACAGCAGAGTGTGAGCAGGCTGATGACAGCATGAGGAGGAGAGGCTGTTGTGGCCTTGTTTGGTTCTTTCACACGCTACTGAGGCTTCTTGTTAAATTAATCAATTGTTCAATTGCCAATATGTCTTGTTTCATCAAACTTCAATCATCCAATCACCAAACAAGAGACACCAGTAAAAATAAAAGCTGTTTGGCATTGGAAGAGGAGATTTGTCACATTTTTCATGGGCGCACCCCACATACTCAGCTCTGCTGCTCATCCCACAAATGCTTGTTCCTCACAAATGTGGCACCATTTGAAAGGGAACTAACCAAACTTTCCAATGGTATAAGATGTATGGCCAAGAAGCATTGTTACAAAAAAGAAATAATCTACCAAACAAAAATGTCCTTACTTTTTGTGCTTAGTTTATTAAACTTAAATAACCTAAAAGTAAAACGTAGAGAACTTATTATCATACTAAATTAAAACAATTGTATAACTTATAGTATACAGATAAGACAATATTATAACGTTATTGAGCCCTCAACCAATTAAATTGTAACAAAAACTCAAAAGTCAAAGAAGTAAGAGTGATGGATAAAAATCAACTTAATGTCAAATAAAAGAACTGCCTAATACGTACAGTATCCACACCGAAAACATCTTTAACTTATTGCACTGGCTTATTAATCATTGTTTTATCATAAGTAATGATTATTGAATCTGTAAAGTAACAAGAAACGTATCAAAAGTTATCAAATAAATGCAGTGCAGTATAGAGTGCCATATTTGCCACTGAATTGTAATGCACCATATTATTGGAGAAATTAAAATGTGCATCTTGCAATTTAGAGACTTATTTAAAAAATGTTTTTACTACCTTTGTTCTTAGAAAACAAAGCTTTTATTTTGAAATGGATATGATCGAACCGGAACTAGTTCATGCTGGCAGCACTTAAGCGCCAACTTCACAGCAGTGAAACGTTGCATGTCGTATTAAATTGTTTTCTCAACAAAAACCCTAAACATCGGTTTGGTTGGCCCGTGAACACAGCCGAGTGTCCCTCCATCATGTCCGGCGTCCAGCTGCTCAGAGAGCTGGTTACCGAGCGGCTGTCTGCAGCCGCTGAGGAGATCTTCGCGGCATTCAAAAACACACTCGCGAGCTACGAGGAGGAGATCCTGCTCTCCAAACGGGAGATCCACCGGCAGCGCGCGGAGCTGCAGACACTTTTATACCCCAAAATAAAGATTAAAAAACGTTCAGGTTTGTGAGTAATTAGCATTAATTTGTTCTGGCTCTGCTTTTGACTATGCACTTAGGCTAGCTGCTATCATCACGAGCCTCGTGAACACCGGGTTTCCTGCTGAAAAGGAAGTTCTTCAGTAAAGTTGTGCTAGCTTAAAGGGGACCTATCATGCAAAATGCACTTTTATATGTGTCCCCGGTGTGTCAGGGAACTCACCAAGTGTCAGAAAACACAACCCTCTCTATTTTCCTCCATACCCAAATCTCTAAAAAAGGGGCTGCAACGGATCTGATAAAAACTGATCCAGATTTGACCACTGTCAGGACGGTGGCGCTACGGCTATTGGGCCAACTCTCCACCTATCAGGGGAATGTGGGGTTGGGCCACGGCCGGCCATTGCCACTCGAAAGCGCTGGAGACGCTGTAGTACATATGTCAGGCCTGTAAGTGGCGCTGTAGTCTGCCACAAAAGCAGCGAAGAAGATTTCCCGCGCATGGTTACCATGGTTACCCTTCTGTTTATTCTCCGCTGTGGCTTTTTTTCTCCCTCCCCGAGGCAAGCGTTTGCTCCTGCTGCTTTAATTCAATGCAATCCCTCCCCGTCGAGGCAAGCACTGTAATTCTCTCCGGTTAGTCCACCAGCAGATGACAAACACCCACCTCTCCGCCTCTTCCAAGGAACGAGGGGACCGTGCGGCAGAGTTTCAGTTAGGTTTTCTTTCGCCGGTCAAGATGTCCGTTAAAGTTGAAATCTTACGGACAAAATTAGAAAAGTGCCGGTCAAAGGTCTTCTTTGTTATTTATTGAGCTTTAAAACAAATGAATAACGACTCTATATAATAATAGGCTATAATAAAACACGGAGGACGGAGATCTATTTTTCTCCCCCTCTTCTGACTTGATCAGAGCGGCTCCCCTCTCCTGCAGGGGGGCGTGGTCAGCTGCAGCTCACAGAATCAGCCCCCTGCAAAAACAGGGCTGGAGAACAGCAAATAGAGCAAAATGAGGCATGGCTAAAATGCATGATCTGTTTGGTATTTTGAAAACAGAAACGTATAAATATACCTTATATAGGTATGGCCCTACAATATATCATTTAAATATAGCATGATAGGTCCACTTTAACTTATGTCCTCTTGTGAATGCTGAAGTTTATCATGTCATATTAGCAAGGCCTTTCCAGTGTAAGATGATACCTGCCAAAGTTAAACAAAATAAACTTGTGTTGCACCTAATCATTCTCAATGGTAACTTATTTTGCCTAAAAACGATGATAACAATAATAACAGAACACATTTAATATACACAGAGCAGGACATATCTAATAGCAACTCAATTAATTAAAATACACATATGAGTACAACAAACAACAAGTAGTAAAACATAAATAAAAGCACATGAAAGCAATTATATTTGGCAGTTAAAATCTAACACAAAAATTGTTGGAATACTTAAAAATGGTTCGGCTTTTTGAAAGCAAATAAACCTGCAAGATTCTTGCTGTTCTGAGATATTTGATTTTCTTTATACAGCACAACCGTAATGGTTAGTGGCTTTGGATAAAAGTGTAATCTAAATCAAATGTAATGTAAAATAGTGGATGTAAAATAGATTTGAAAAAACAGTCCGAGTTTGCAGCCCTGATCTCCATTCGGCAGATCTTTATAATAGTTTTCCTTTTTTTTTCAGACCAACCACAGCTGGCTCTCTCCGGGTGGGACGAGGACTTCCCTTCTGACCAGCACCAGGAAGAACACTGTGAGCAGGAGTGGAGCTCCGCATTGGACCAGGAGCCTCCACAAACTGAGAAAAGCCAGGAGGATGAGGAGCAGGAGGAGGAGGCGGAGGAGGAGGAGGACACCATCAAGGTCATCTTCACTCCTCCTTGTGTGAATAATGAGCTGGACCAGGATAAAGCAGATCCTCTCCCGAGCACTTCCACGGTAGAGGCGGAGACTGAAGTTGAAGGCAGAGCGTACTCCGGCTTTTCTGCGGTGGAGAAAGACAACAGCGGTGAGGAGTGGGCGGGCAGCGGGGGGTCTCAGAGCGAAGAGAGCGACGAGGACTGGAGGAAAAGGAAGGCGCCTCGTCCGATGGTGTCGAAACTGCACCCAGGTAAAAAAGCAAAATCGCAAATTTGCTGTAAAGTCTGCGGGAAGGCGTTCCATGCTAACATCTCGTTGGTGAACCACCTGAAGGTGCATCCGAAGGAGGTCTGCGGCGTGTGCGGGGAGCGCTTCGAGAGTGAGGAGAGTTTTCGAGATCACCTGACATCGCACGTGAAAGCGGAAGTCTGCGGCGTTTGTGGGAAATGTTTCGGCTCCTCCAGCTCTTTGCAGACGCACATGAGGGTCCACACGGGGGAGAAACCGTTTAACTGCAGCGAGTGTGGGAAATCCTTCAACTGCCGCCACAACATGATGCGACACATCCGGATACACACTGGGGAGAAACCCTATTCTTGCACTATGTGCGGGAAATGTTTTAATGACGACTCCACGTTGAAACGCCACCTGCTGGTTCACGTGCACAAGAAGAAACGCAACCCAAATAACGAAAGTGAAAATGGCAAAGACAGTAAGGATGAAAAGACGTTGACGTTATCAAAAAAGCAGCAGACTCGGACAATATGTGAAGTGTGTGGTAAAATGTTTCACTCCATGATTTCTCTGGTGAATCACGCTAAAAGTCACGCCACGGACCTCTGCGGTGTTTGCGGGACGCACTTCGACTCCGAGGCAAACTTAAAACTTCACATGAAAACTCACAAAAGCGGGAAGGTGTGCGAGGTGTGCTTGAAGTGTTTCGTCAGTCAGAAAGACCTGGAGATCCACATGAGGACCCACACGGGGGAGAAGCCGTTTCTCTGCAGCGAGTGCGGAAAATCCTTCAACTGCTGCCACAATATGATAAGACACACCCGGATTCACACCGGGGAGAAACCTTACATGTGCAACATCTGCGGCCGCTGCTTCAGCGACCACTCCGCGCTGAAGCAGCACAGCAGCACGCACACAGGGGAGAAACCGCACCGCTGTGAGATCTGCGGGAAAAGTTTCCACCGTAAGACGTACCTTAAACTGCACATGAAGAGCCACAAGACTGAGAAGTGACTGATAAATAAGGTGGTGTGTAGCAGAGTCCTGCCCGGGCCTCATTTTCAAGATGTGCCCCTGTACCGCAAAGTTCAATGGAGTGGTGACCTGATAGATATTTAATTTGACTATAAGTCTTATCCAACACCCACAATCCTACCAGCATTTTCCTTTTTTTCCTCAGACCTGCAACCAGAAATACAATTATACAAAATATTTTTGTGAAGCTGAAAACATCATGTTGGGACATATTTGTGAAATGCACTTGAAATGGTTCCTTGGTTTATTTGGAAAGCAAAAGGAGGCTCACTCAGCCTGCCTCCGTTTTACAACCTCGGTTTCTTTAATTTCTACAAACTAAAGGTGACACTGAACCACATTAGCTCTTTTGATAAGCAGGTGCATAAGCTCATATAATTGTGGTTCTGCAGTGTTCCCACATGCCAAACCAGTTTCCTCCGCTTACATCTGCAGATATCACCTTGAATTCCAGTGTCATTGTGTTGCTGGCAGGCACTGCTGTGATGACCACACCCAAAATGTAACACACAATGCAATGAAAACTTTTTAAAAAGTGCAAGAGGTGAAATGAAAGTGAAATTTAAATGCACTTTTATGAAGTTTCCTCCCAAAGCTTGAAGGTGGTTATATAAGGCAGAGTGAGCTCACAGCCTTCACTCTTGGTGGAACGAAGGGAAGGTACGTGAACACACTCTTTGTTTTTTGCGCATTTACATTCAAATACAGTCAAGTTTATCAATACAAGAAGATTAAGTGAGAAGCAGTAGATTATTATTATTATTATCAGAAGTTAATCTTATTTTAAGACTGTCATATGCTACAATTCCTTGTTAATTTTTAGAACAAATTGCCTGAGGATATTACTCTTGCAAAATCAGTTTATACTTCTATAAACATTAAGTGAATCATTCTACGCACATTTAGGATCTGTAAAATCTGTTATTAATTGCATTTTTGTTTATACTTTTTTTTACGGGGTGTTGAATAACAGTTTTACTGTATGTAAAGCAATTTTTAATTTTTTTGGTTTGTAAAAAATAACTACTACTGTGTCATAAGGTAATATGTTTAATATATTTCTATAAGAGAGGTGTTGCCCCATGGGTGATATTAGAAAGAATGCAATCACCTTTTCAGACTCTTCCAGGGCTTAAAATGTGTTGTTTAATGATTTCTTAACGTCTTGTTTAGTTTCTGTTTTAAATCATTTTGCAATGATGTTTAGTTTTGCCATATGGAGTCCTTCTGAAGTCATTAATATTCCTCTTTCCTGCAGTGATACTGACACCAACATGCAGTGCAACTGGGCTGAATCAAATCAAATCAAATCAAAGTTTATTTATAAAGCACATTTAAAAGCGATTTTTGGTTCGGGCCAAAGTGCTGTACATGCAGGGGTTAAATTGGGCCGGGGCTGCCCGGGGCTCAGCCCCGGCACATAGGACGATGCTCTGACGTCATCACCCTCGCTCATTTGTCATTTGTTTAAGCCATATGTTAAAACATCTCTCGTTCTTAATATAGACTTTATTTAGGGTCGATATGTGTTGACTTTACTTTAAAATAGCAGATCTCTGTGACAGGATATAGTGTCTCTGCTCCGATCAGGAGCTGCAGCACCGCGGCTCCTTCGTGCAGAGTCTGCAGCGGTGTGTGTGTGTGTGTGTGTGTGTGTGTGTGTGTGTGTGTGAAGAAATGTTTGAAAATGTAAAGTAAAATGCTTCAATCTGGTGCACTTTAAGCACACATTACTAGAGACCTGATCTAGGGGGTACAACTCTAAACACCCATATGAAAAAGATCGGTTTCCATTTTAATAATCAAATATGTGAACATAACCAATAACCTACCATAGCCAATAACAAATAAATGTAACTTATTTTATTTTTGTTGTTCATTCATATCTTATTTTACCTATTTAAAATGTATTTATGCATATTTTTATATCTCTCAAGTTTTAAACGATATTTTTGGTTTACGGTCCTATAGTATACATTGAAATGATTTCAAACCTGTTTATCCCAATAATTATAAAGGAGTGCCTTGGAAATATTTGTTTACATAAATTGCATTTATCTCTCTTGCTCGCTCCCACGCCCACTTTGGCTGTGAGCTGCGGGCGCCTGATAAGCCAACACCCCCCACTTTCATCACTTACAGCGCCCATCGTACAGGGCAAATGAAAAGTGTAACCGGGGTGAAAAGGGTGTTACATTTACTTAATTATGAATGTTGTACTTTCTATTTTTATTGTGACATTTGGTGGCATCAATGTGTGCATTTGATACAGATAATGGAGCAGTTGCTTTAGGGGCCACAGTGTAGGCCTATATCCCTTAAGGTCAAATAATGAGATCCTCGACCTCCGCCCCCCTCTCGCACCTACACACAGAGCCCCCCAACATATCAAATCCCAACGTAACCCCTGTGTACATGTAAGAAATACTACAATCATAAAAACACATTACTACAATCAAAATAAAAGACAATAAATTACAACAGATATATAAAAAAAAAAAACACAGGGAAAAGTCAGGAAGTCGTGCTCCGCTCTGACTAAAAGGCCAGGGAGAAGAAGTGTGTTTTAAGAGTAGATTTAAAAACGCCTAGGGTCTGGGCCGACCTCACATGGAGGGGCAGAGTGTTCCAGAGCCAAGGGCCAGCTGCTGCGAAGGCTCGGTGCCCTCTGGTTTTGAGCCTGGTCTTGGGCACGATCAGCAGCAGCTGGTCAGCAGACCTTAAAGCTGAAGATGACTTTGATGTGCCGCCTGGGGTTATCCAACTTCAAGCGCTCTCTACACCATTTGATAATAGAAAGTACATCATGTACCATGGCACTACCAGGGCCATTGCTCAATCAATCCAGGCCACAGGTTTTCGCCCTTCCCCAGACGGGATGCTCGGCCGCGGCATCTACCTCAGCAGAGACCTGCTGAAAGCTAGCCGTTATCCCATTGATCACCCAGAGCATGACAGGGCCGTCATTAAGGTTTTGGTCAACGTAGGGAAAGTGATCGCCATCAGAAAAAAAGACCATCCAAGACAGAAGACCTGGCACGACTTTTGGCGCGTTTCCACTACAGCGCGGAGCACGGTTTAAGAGGGCTGTGACGTCAGCGGCCCGTCTTTGGTTGCGTTTCCACTTGGCCTAGTACCGGCCGGCGGGTCCTAATTCACAGTTTTTCTGGCCTCATAAAATCGCGGGTCTAGGGCCAGAAACAACGAGGCTGAGTCGGGCTGAGTATGCTAAACTAGAGAGAGCATCGCTGGCAAGGGGGCTACAACTACAACAAGATGGACATATTTGACCGTGATTTAATTGTAATACACGTTTCAAAATGATGCCGAAGTAACAACATACTGATACCGGTTAGTGAAAACCATGAATTAATGCTTTGTCAAGTCTGCAGACAGACGGCAGGCGAAAAACCTTTTAAAATGCGTGTGTTCTAAATGGAGATTGGCTAAGCTAACGCAGTATATGCTCCGACCGTCCACACTCACAACAACGGCCTATACAGACATAAATAAAGCAGCGACTGTATTCACCATGACACAGGCAGTCTGTGGTTTGTACTTGTTTAACTTTTGTCTAGTTTCTGAACATATATGAGGAGCTGTGAGCTCTGAGTGCTAACAGCTAACGGCTGTGTTGTTTTTCTGGGGTTCTCTGAAGATCACGTCACGGCTCCGCCTACACTGCGTTACTATAGATACTACCCCAGTTCCAAAACTGTAATGGAAATGCGCCATAAAGTGAGCCAGTCCTAACGAGGCCCAGCCATACCGAGCGAGGCCGTGTAGTGGAAACGCGCCATTAGGCTTCAACACCGCCTGGGTGCCCCCCAACTGTGGGATGGTGAAGAGCGGTTTGGAGGAGGATTGTGTCTGGGATCCTTCTCGAATTTCAATCCTTAAAATCATCGACCCCAAACCAGTCCAAACCTATGGTGGATGGGGCTACATGTGTAATCTCCTATGAGCTGTAACCCATTTATTTTTTATGTTTAAAACTTTTTATAAAAAGTAAATGACTTTAGCATTTTGAAACTGTGTCATTGTTACATGGAAAAATAAATGGTTCATATTAAATCTGAGTTTGTGTCTGGTTATGTGAGTTTAGATTTATTTTGAGATATATGTGTACAAATAGTTCCATACAAACATTTACCGGTAAATTGCGCAAACCAAGAAAGATATTTTATATTCTCATATGAGATATAAGCTCACATACATTGGGTTTTGTATTTATATCTTACTAGAAATAAACTCAGAAATATGTATTACTTACTAGGGACTAAATACCGTGTATTGTCCAGAAAATGGCAGATGACTATTGTAAAAGAGAAGATGTATAAAGATCAGTCATTATTATTTATTATCTTTCTTCCAGATACTGATACCAAATAGGGTTACAAAAAGTAGAATAATAGAATAATTCCTCCAGTTATCTATTATTCATTCTATCACATGTTAGTGGCGTGGACAGAAGTTGACCTGAGAGATATTTAGTGTTATTTTTTATATTATCCAACACCCGCAATCCAACACACATTTTTATTTTCTTCCTCAGACCTGCTACCAAGAATAAAATTCAATCAAAATACCAGCTGCAAACCACCATTTTGTGTGTGTTTGTGATTGTGAGACAAACGGGGTTTTATCCATTTTTATATTCATTATTTTCTCAGACAACGTTAGTTGGGATGTAAATACAAACTTTAATAAATAATGTATACACCTTTTTTATTGCCATTTCATCATGTGTTAAAGATCACCTACTGTATTCTACAAAATCATAACTAACCAAGGTAACACCCGTCCACCTTATCACCTGAATCTCCTCCTAGACCACCATTGTGTTTTTTCAAACAAATCATCTCGCAGAGGAGTGTGGCCGGCAGCAGCTCATTAGCATTTAAAGCTACAGCCGCAGAATCAGCACTTTTGGAACAGGGCTGAAACAGAGGGGTTTATGGCATGTTACAATAGACGATCTGTTTGGTATTTCAAGCCAAACACTTCAGAAACATGTTTTGTATATATCTGAGACCTATAATATATTGTTGAAAAAGACACTTAGTTAAAGTGGACCTATCATGCTATATTTGAATAATATAGTGTAGGACCATACCTATATAAGGCATATTTATACTTTTTTTTTTTCAAAATATCAAACAGATCATGCATTTTAGCCATGCCTCATTTTGCTCAATTTGAAAAAATGTAGCTCTGTTTTTGCAAAGGCTGATTCTGTGAGAACAGCACCACCTACAGGCCTGGCATATGTACTACAGCATCTCCAGCGCTTTCGAACGGCAATGGCCGTGGCTGTCTCCTCCTGATTGGTGGAGTTGGCCCAATAGCCGTAGCGCCACTTCTGTGACGTCATAGAAGTGTTCAAATCTGGATCAGTCTGTATCAGATCCGTTGCAGCCCCTTTTTTAGAGATTTGGGTATGGAGGAAAATAGAGAGGGTTGTGTTTTCTGACACTTGGTGAGTTCCCTGGAACACCGGGGACACATATTCATGTATAAAAGATGTACAAAAGTGCATTTTGCATGATGGGTCCCCATTAAATCAAAGTTGGAAAATAAAATAATGCATTTTTAAAGCTGTAGTCATATTTTGTTTGGCCACTTGGGGTCAGCACAATAAGTACTAGTATTAATAATCACTTGTTAGATATTCACTTTGTTGATGTAAAACAAAAAAAGTCAGGAAATCAAAAATGTTGTGACGCTGAAAACATCATGTTAGGACATATTTGTGGAATGCACTTGAAATGCTTCCTGTGTTTATTTGGACAGCAAAAGGAGGCTCACTCAGCCTGCGTCCATTTTACAACCTCGGTTTCTTTAATTTCTACAAACTTTAGTTTAACTTTCAGTTAAACTGGACCACAGTAGCTCTTTTGATGAGCAGGTGTATAAGCACAATGAAAACCTGAGCTCATATAATTGTGGTTCTGGAGAATGTTGCCACATACCAAACCAGTTTCCTATTCATTGTTTTCACTGTTATGGAACTTATCTGCCCCGGACATGAGTGCCAAATCATCCTGTGTTAAAAGAGACCTGGAAAGTCCCATAACTCCCGCTCCTACATCTGCAGATACCGCCTTAGATTCCCACGTCATTGGCAGGCACTGCTGTGTTGACCACACCCACAATGTAAAACACATTTCAAATCAAACTTTAAAAAAGTGCAAGAGGTGAAACGAAAGTGAAATTTAAATGCACTTTTATGAAGTTTCCTCCCAAAGCTTGAAGGTGCTTATATAAGGCAGAGTGAGCTCACAGCCTTCACACTTGGTGGAACGAAGGGAAGGTACGTGAACACACTCTTTGTTTTTTAGTGCATTTACATTCAAAAACAGTCAAGTTTATCAATACAAGAAGATTAACTGAGAAGCAGTAGATTATTTGTCAGAAGTTAAGTTTATTTTAAGACTGTCATATGCTACAATTCCTTGTTAATTTTAGAACAAATTGCCTGAGGATATTACTCTTGCAAACTCAGTTTATACTTCTATAACCATTAAGTGAATCATTCTACGCACATTTAGGATCTGTAAAATCTGTTATTAATTGCATTTTTCTTTATACTTTTTTTTACTGGGTGTTGCATATGAGTTGTAGGCCTATTGTATGTAAGGCAATTTGTTAATATTGGGTTAAAAAAACAACTACTACTGTGTCATAAGGTAATATGTTTCATAGATTTCTATAAGATCGGACTTTGTACTTTTTATAAGAGAGGTGTTACCCCATGGGTGGTATTAGAAAGAATGCAATCACTTTTTCAGACTCTTCCAGGGCTTAAAACGTGTTGTTTAATGATTTCTTAACGTCTTGTTTAGTTTCTGTTTAGTTTTTCCATATGGAGTCCTTCTGAAGTCACTAATATTCCTCTTTCCTGCAGTGATACTGACACCAACATGCAGTACAGCTGGGCTGAAGATGACTTTGATGTGCCGTCTGGGGTTGGCCGACTTGGGCTCTCTGCGCCAGTTGATAATAGAAAGTACATCATGTACCATGGCACTACCAGGGCCATTGCTCAATCAATCCTGGCCAAAGGTTTTCGCCAGTCCCCAGACGGGATGCTTGGCTGCGGTGTCTACCTCAGCAGAGACCTGCTGAAAGCTAGCCATTATCCGATTAATCACCCAGAGCATGACAGGGCTGTCATTAAGGTTTTGGTCAACGTAGGGAGAGTGATCGCCATTAATCGCCAACGCCATCCAAATCAGAAGACCTGGCACGACTTAGGCTTCGACACCGCCTGGGTGCCCCCCAACTGTGGGATGGTGAAGAGCGGTTTCGAGGAGGATTGTGTCTGGGATCCTTCTCGAATTAAAATCCTTAAAATCATCGACCCCAAACCAGTCCAAACCTATGCGGGTGCACGTGGCTACATGTGAGCCCTATGAGCTGTAACCCATTTATTTTGTATGTTTAAACCTTTTGATACAAAGTAAATTACTTTTGCATTTTGTAACTGTGTCATTGTTACATGGAAAAATAAATGGTTCATATTAAATCTGAGTTTGTGTCTGGTTATGTGAGTTTAGTTTTATGTTGAGATATCTGTGTAGAAATAGTTCCATGCAAACATTTACTGGTAAGTTGTGCAAACCAAGAAAGATATTTGATATTCTCATATGAGATGTAAGCTTACATACATTGTGTTTGTATTTAATACCTTACTAGAAATAAACTCAGAAATGTTTTTTACTCAGGACTAAATACCGTATATTTTCTAGAAAATGGCAGACGGCTATTGTAAAAGAGAAGATGTATTAAGATTAATCATTATTATTATTTATCTTCCAGATATTGATACCAACTAGGGTTACAAAAGTAAATAATAGATTCCCACTTCATATTTGAAAATCTTAATAAGATAGTGAGCAAAGTTGCAAAAGCAAATGTGCACACATTGTGCAGCTTTAGATACTGGCCTCCATATGATTCTGCTTTTCCAAAGATGTATGAAATAGCATGAAAATGTTATTATCTAAGCAAAGTACCTCAAATGTGTACACAAATACAATACTTGTGTAAATGTACTTGTATTTGATATATGGTCAAAAAGCCCTTGGTACTGTAGAAAAAGAAGAGATATGTTCATTAGATTGTAAAACGTTGTAGGTCGATATTTACAGGGACTGTTGTAAAAAACAATCACGTTCACAGAGTTTCATTTCCCTTCCAAAAGCTGTCTTTTCTCCAAGTCCTACCGTGCCTCTGATTGGCTGAGTCCAGGAATGTCTGACTGAAAGCAAAGGCATGCAAAAATAAGTGAAACGAAAGTGAACGATGAACACACATGTAGCAATTTTCTTCTGAAACTTGAGGCTATTTATGTACGCAGAGTGAACTCACAGCCTGCACCATTGGAAGGGCATACAGAAACAAATGTGAACACTAAATAAAAGCATTTTTACAATAACTATCAATACTGCAGGGGAAGAAAGCTAAATTCAGTATATCTGATGCAAACTGTACCTTCAAACTGTGTTGGGGATTAGTTTCACGAACATTAACACAAATTCCCCAAAGTTTAACTGTATACATATGTGAGGAATATGCATCTGGAACAATGTCAAAGAAGATGGAGGGCAAAGAGTGGAAAAGGGGAAGAAATCATGTCTATTTTTAGATGCTCATTCAATTAAATTGCTGGCACTTTGCTGCAATATGCATGAAATCAGACTAATCTGGTGGAAAGTGTATTAAAGGGAGAGCAGAGGTAGAGCATGCTGAATCTGTATACAATATGTCCATTTCCTGCTTCTTTATACTTAATCTAATACACTACATCTCAGAGGTAAATACAGTACTTACAGCTTTTTTTACTTTTCAGATAATAGTTTTTCATCCTCTTCCTGTCCAGTGAAAACGATTTAACTCGAGATGATTTTGAACCTTTGTGATGAACTGAAGGTAGAAATGTTTATTTTCTCTGGTGAGGTAATCCACCTCCAGCACCACAAAGCTGGCAAACAGGGCTGTTTTTCTGAGAAACTCATGAATTTTAGAGGTAAGTGGTTCTCACAGGTCAGGACCAAGCGCCAAACATATAATTATCTTATAAAATATGATGCATTGCGGCAGAATAGACTAACCAACAGTAAGAAATCAAAAAACCTCAACAGCAGTAAAATGCAACATATTAAATTATGTTGATGCCGCAGAGGTACTCTTTGCAGGGCAATGTGCTCCTATGCTGATACCATCAGGTTGCATGCAACATGCAAAAATATTCACATCTGAATACTAAACATTGTAATTAGATGTATAAATACCTATTTTTTATTAAATCTGAATTTCTGTCCAGAGATGAGTGTATTTTCATTATGGGATATCCACTTTGGAAATGTCTGATGAGGGCAAGTAGTCAAAAATAGAAGAAATTATTTATATTTTTAGATGTTCATTAAAGTGGACCTATCATGCTATATTTGAATAATATAGTTTAGGACCATACCTATATAAGGCATATTTATACTTTTTTTTTTCCAAATACCAAACAGATCATGCATTTTAGCCATGCCTCATTTCGCTCAATTTGAAAACTGTTAGCTCTGTTTTTGCAAGGGTTGATTCTGTGAGCAACAGCACCATCTAGAGGCCTGGCATATGTACTACAGCGTCTCCAGCGCTTTCGAACGGCAATGCCGTGGTTGTCTCCTCCTGATTGGTGGAGTTGGCCCAATAGCCGTAGCGCCACCGTCCTGACGTCAGGACAGTGTTCAAATCTGGATCAGTTTTTATCAGATCCGTTGCAGCCCCTTTTTTAGAGATTTGGGTATGGAGGAAAATAGAGAGGGTTGTGTTTTCTGACACTTGGTGAGTTCCCTGGAACACCGGGGACACATATTCATGTATAAAAGACGTACAAAAGTGCATTTTGCATGATAGGTCCCCTTTAAATTACATTTCTCACACTTTGCTGCAATATGAAGATCAAATAAATCTGCTTGGACTGGCACAATGCAAGAAATGTGCATTGTGCATGCAAATCATTTAGTTTATTTGTATTTTTATCATACATGTTTGCATGCATTTGTCAATTTGAGAGCACTAATTCATATTATTACCTTTATTATTATTTTATGTTATTATTGTTCAGTTTTTTTATTATTTTATTGTATTCTTTATTTTTTTCGTAGTTGCATTTGGTTATTTATTGGAGCTACTCTACAACATGCTGCCCAGGCCCGCAGAAATGCTGGCTCCGGCAGTGACTTCTGGTGCTCCTCTTCTCCGCTGGTTCATAAAACTGCAGCGACGTAATTTGCTTAATGACAAAATAAATGTTCACTAAACTGTTTACATGTCAATGGCCACATGGGGGCCTCCGTGTCCTCTCTACCGCCTCCAACCTCTCTCTCCTCATTTCAAGCCTTTGCCAAATTCCCTCCCTCCTCCTCTGCCTGGCAGTAGTCCCTCTCAGGCCGAGTAGGGGAGCATTCACACCCCGCTGTCGGTGTTTAGCGGATGGGGCTCTCAGCCTGAGCCGGAGGGAGGAGGAGGAGGAGAAAGATGACCGGTATCCCGTGTCCCCGCAGGCTGGCCCGGCGCTCCAAGTCCGCCCTGTTGATCGCCGCCTTGGCCGTGCTGCTGGTCCAGACCCTCATCGTGTGGAACTTCAGCAGCCTGGACTCCGCAGGCGGCGGGGACGGAGGCGCCAGGAGCCGGGAGAAGAGAGAGGAGCGAGCCGGGGGGCTCAACAAAGCAGACAAGGAGCACCAGCGGAGGGGGCTGCAAAAGAAGGGCGACCCGCCGCCGCTCGAGAAGGCGGCCGTACAGCACAAGCTGCAGGCGGTAAGGTTTAAAATAATACCTGCTTCAGTTAAAACGAGTTTTGTGAGTCAAATTAGATATTTTTACACCTGTGTTTCCTCGACCGACTGGAACATTTGCGTCTGTCCCGGGGGAAGCCGCATGGTAGCTACGTAGAAGATGCTACGGAGTGGCTGCAGCTGTTGTTTTGGCATTTGCATCAACACATTTTGGCCGCTTTCGTCCCTTGTATGGGGACATGAGTCTGTAGGCCAGACTCGATATAAAAATCTGCCCATTTAAGGAATCGATTAATGACCACATTTACCAGGTTAAACGGACTCGCTTGCCTTTTCCTGGAGATTGTAATAACTGTTCAGTTGTCTGTAATGAGCAAGCAACCTTGCATACATTTAAAACTTAAAGCCAGACTAATTGTTTTAACCACTTACCTTTATCAGTTTAATTCGCAGTGTTAGCCACTGTAAAGTCAGCATTGAAGGAAGGACATATCGATGTTTGCTGTCTGAAAGGGCATGTACATTGATAATGTTCATGACGAATGTAAGAAAATCACCGATATTGTCCTACAATATATTATTTTGTGTTCTCCATTATATGTGCGTCATCGAAAATGAAAAACAAATATAATTCTCTGTTTTGTTAACGCACTTTGGTTGGCAATTCTCCACTCAACATACAGCAAAGCGTCTCGTCTGTAGTCATTTTCATTACTTTTAATATAAAAGATCAACATAGTTTGTATGTATCCCAAATGCATAAAACCTTTACAGACATTTCAGCTTTTCAAATTAAGCTAACTGAAGCAAAGAATGAGCAACTGTGGGATAAAACTGTTAATTGTGAGTCTCTTCCTAGATCTGTGATTTAAGGGTTTAATTAAAACCCTTCTGTTGGTGATATTAAGGGACCCTACAGACTCCTTTGGAAACTGGGAAATGATTAAGCCATTTTTATTAATGGTAATTGCCCCTCTCTGATATTAACTTGTGAAACGACATGGGTGATTTGTTGCATGCCAAGTCAAAGTTAAGTCACGTACTCTTTGTTCTGCTCAGTTTGCATCCTTTAATCACCTTTCAAGCTTCCCCCTTGTGTGCATATAGGCTTACTGTACTGTATGTGTTTAATGCTTAAATACTGTCAGTACACGTATAGAATCTGAGGGGAGATTCCACATTGTTTTTATGTTAAGAAAATGTTGTTACTGTATGTGTGTGTGTTGCTTTACCTGGTGGAATCCAGGTGTTCTCATGTTGTCAAGACATGATTGTACTGTGTGTCTGTATGTGTGTGAGAAGGAAGGAGAGGGAGAGACGTGGGTTCTATTGCAGGCATCCATTTTTACGTCCTTTCATTACAGTTAACCGGATGCCCTGTGATCTTGTGTGTGTGTGTGTGTGTGTGTGTGTGTGTGCAGTGATATGTCCTGACAGTTATTGGCTTTTAAAACAGTAGAGATACATGCCAGCACATTTTTATAGAGCAGAAGTTTAGGAGGTGAAAAGAAAGAGGGAAAGGAAACAAAAGCGGCAAGGAAGAAGGTCGACGTGACCACTATATGAGTAATTAAAAATATGTGGAGATTCAATCATTTAAAGGCTCTATTGTCCTATGCACAACAGTTACAATGTAGTGGTTTGCAATGAAAATCTTAAATCCCAGGCTCCTCCAACAATGCAACATACAATATACTGACAGTTTGACATATTGAACAAAATACAATTTATTAAGCTTTTCTTCTTACCGGAAGTGGAGCTAAGATTGCCCAGAAAAACATCAGAAAAAGGTCAAAATGTCCGTTACAGCCTAAAAAAAATCTTCAAAGACGCCTTTCTATGTTAATAATAAGCATAAATATCTTTAAATTATGTTGTGTGTTAAATTTGAGAAAACAGAGAACATCCTCAGTTTAATATACTTCTAGCTACAGTTCAGTCATTCACAGAAGGAAAAACTTGCTGTAAGTTAGTGCAGATATATTGATAATGTCCATACAGAATCTATCGATTTTAAAGATATTGTCCTAAAATATCATGATGTGTATGTTATATGTTATTTAACCAAGAACATATATAATTGTGTGTTATGTTAACAGAGTTTGGTTTTAAATTTCTCCACTCAACAAACAGCATAGTGCCTTGACAGAATATAGTCTACAAAGAGCTGTGCATTGTATGCAAAAAAATATAATTTAGTGTGCAAATAATAATAATCTTTTGAATAGTTAATGTGTTGTTAAGCTTTTGATTTAACTCTCCTTAGTGGGGCTAAAACTGTAAACTTTCTCCCGAGTTTGGCGCAAGAATAAATGTTATTCCTTATTAACAAATTCAATTTCCCAGTTGATTTAAAAATATTTGTGCCGTTGCCTTTTAAAGTTAATCTGCCTGTTGATTCCCGGGGCTGTGAAATATCAATCATTTGATCAATTGATTGATGGACAGTAAAGATTTCTGTGTTTGTTAAAGTTATTTAGCAAACAAGATGCTTGATTAATCCCCAAATTAAATAAACGGATCAATGAATATTTAGACATTATTCAATAAGTGGAGCACTAATAGAAGCATGCTTTTTGTTTCTGTTGCAGCTTTGTGATTCTGTAGTGAAAATGAGTGAAGACTGAACACGTGTGAAGCTGATAAATTGTGTGGGTGTGTGTTTATTGACAGGAAGGAGCATCCTATTTCCAATAAAAGTGTGTGTGTGTGACTTTCACTGCAGCACCTTCCACAGAAGCATTCAAATACCTGCAGTGTTTCCATCAACCAGCCTGGTGTGTGTGTGTGTCATTTGTATGTAGCACTGTGTGTGTTTGTACGTGATGCACCGTGTTTGGCACTGTCTGGGTGATGCTGTGTGTACGTTTTTGGGTCATGCACTGTTTAGCAGCGTGCATGTGACCCATCATGTGTACTGACTCAGTGTGTTTACAGCCGTCGTGGATGGCGCCACAGTTGTTGCACAACTCTCACATTCATCACACCTTTGCAGGGATGGGGACACAAACACATATCCACAAACACACAAACAGACAGACACACACAGTTCTGGTTAGATCAGATTAGAGGATTGGCTTGGATCAGGTTCCCCCGATGGAATTAATACTTTCTAATCTAGTTTAGATTGTTCGATAATCCCTAAAGTGTGTGTGTGTGTGTGTGACACAGTGTGTGTGTGTTGTGCTTCTGTATCTGTGAGATCAGCTTTAAAACCTTTACAGTGAGAATATGTTTGGTAAAATGGGATATTTGGTGAGGGTTGGGATTAGAAGTGTAGCTGTGATGATTACAAAGGTTTTTAGAGCTCAAAGCACCGGAAATGTAATACAAAATGTCAACAACAATCTACCTTAAAAGAAGTATTGTCCCTATGTGAACATTATGTAGAATATGTGAGTTGCTGAAGTAAAAATACATTTTGAAAGCATCAACCACCAACCACCAACCACATGATCTTCCAAGATCTAATAGTTTCAGTTGGCCCCAGTAGACCTGGCATAAACTGAACCGAGATAGTCACCACCGATTTAGGGCTGTCCCGAATACCATTTTTCGGGCTCCGGATATTCGGTAGTAATCAGCAGCGAATATTCGGAACGGAGAATATTTTATTAAAAAAAACATTTTCCAAAAGGTTTCATAATACGCTCCGAATCCGAGACACCTGACAAAACGCTGTGAAGCGCAGAAAGAGCATACTACTACGATTTATATTTATAAGATTTATATTTATTTATTGTCTCAGTACTTGCATACATTACAACTAAATGTGTCCTCTGCATTTAACCCAACCCTATACCATCCTAACCCACCAGGGCATTTAGCAGCTGCAGTGCAGCGCCCGGGGACCAACTCCGGTTCCAAATTCCATCCATAACGTTTTACAACCTGAAGAGTCAAACAAAGATACAAAACACATATATTTCTGTTATAACAACAATACATTTACGCAATGTGGTGCCTTTTCATTTCAGTTTCTTACTTTGTATTTCTTCACCCCTTTCCCTCAAACTATTTTAGGAGAGTGCATTTACGTAGACACGTTGTGCCTCTCTTCCTCTGTTTCTTACTTCTCTTTTCCTACCCCTGTTCCTCAGACCTATCCTAAGGGAGTAGACACGTTGTGCCTCTTCACTTTTACTTTCTAAGGGTCAAAGTTCATATGGCGAGGGATTCCTTTGAGCGGCATGCGCCGGCCCGTGCCTTACCTTGGACTTCTAATAGAACTGCTCGGGTCTTGATAGATTGAGTGGGGAAGTTCAGGAGATATCTGTAGATAACCCTAACCTAACCCTAACCCTTTCCTAACCCAAGATAGCCGTAACAGTAGGCCTAACCGTATAATACTTGTTACCGACACAGTAAAGAGTATTTAAATAAATTAAGAACGAAAATTAAATGAACGAATTCTAATAAATAGAACAAGGTAGCGCAATTATAATAACAGCAGCACACATTTTAATAAACAAACAATTTAAATACAAATAAATGAATGGCTTTATATAGAATAAAACGAACTGTAACAAATAGAACAAGGTAGGAGGTAGCGCGATTGAGCGCTATAACAATAACAGCAGCATACACTTCAATAAACGAACAATTTCTTTCCAATCTTTCAAATAAACAAATAAATCACAATCAGGTTGCAAGCTTCATTTGACTAAGCCGTAAGCCTACCTACACTCTCTTCATGTTGTGTGCGAGGAAGATGAGTTAGTCCACATTCTCAGGTAAAAGTGAACTTCTGGTCTTGTTCACGATGTAGCCGGCCTTTGAGAAAATGCGCTCTGAAGGGTTGAAGTGGCCGGAACGCAAAGGCAGTGCTTGGCCTGTACAAAGATGTACGGTGGTGGCGAAGTCGATAGGGACTTGGCTTGGCAACTGGAAGGTCACCAGTTCGACTCCCGGCTAGACCAAGTGCTACCGAGGTGTCCCTGAGCAAGGCACCGTTCCCTACACTGCTCCCCGGGCGCCTACCACGGCAGCACACTGCTCCTAACACTAGGATGGGTCAAATGC